CCTATGCATTTTTGGATCCTGGCAGTTCTGCCACATTTTGTTCAGAACGCTTAATGCATAGTTTGAAATTAAAGGGAAAGGAAACTAATATTGTTTTGAAAACAATGGGCAATCAAAGGGCTGTTAATAGCACTGTTTTGACTGGATTGGAAGTGTCTAACCTTCTTGATGACACCTTTTATAGTCTTCCAGAAGTCTTCACTCAAGAAAGAATGCCTGTATCCAGAGACAACATTGTCACTCAAAAGGATTTGGAAAATTGGCCATATCTGAAAGGTGTTGAGATTCCTCAAATTCCTGCTGATGTGGATTTGCTGATTGGAGCAAATGCTTCCAGGGTAATGGAGCCCTGGGAGGTTATAAACAGCAATGGAGATGGACCTTATGCAGTTAGAACCCTATTGGGATGGGTTGTAAATGGACCACTCCAAGGAAGCAGGAATAAGGTCAAATGTTCAGGTGTGACTGTTAACAGGATTTCTGTAAGAAAATTGGAGGATATGCTTGGTAAACAATACAATCATGACTTTAATGAGAATTCTGTTGAAAAGAAGGAAATGTCAAGAGAAGAGCATGCCTTTATGGAAAAGGTAAGCAAGTCAATTGAGTTTCAAGATGGACATTATAAATTGAATCTTCCTTTTAGGATGGAAATTCCCATGTTGCCAAACAACCTTTGTGTGGCTAAACAGCGCTTAATTGGATTGAAAAGGAAATTTGAAAGAAACAAGATTTTCCATCAAGAATATAAAGATTTCATGGATGAGGTAATTAAACACGGTTATGCCGAAATAGTACCGTTACATCAATTAAAACAGGATGAAGGGAAAGTTTGGTATATCCCTCACCATGGGGTTTATCACCCCAAGAAGCAAACATTAAGAGTGGTGTTTGATTGTGGAGCTGCCTTTAAAGGTACATCATTGAATGATCAGCTTCTGCAGGGTCCTAATCTGACAAATTCACTGTTGGGAGTTCTTGTGAGGTTTCGACAAGAGCCTATTGCATTTATGGCTGATGTAAAAGCAATGTTTCACCAGGTTAAAGTTGCAGAAGAAGATACTGACTTTCTTCGTTTCCTATGGTGGCCAGATGGTGATATCAATCAGGACTCTGTGGAATACAGGATGAAAGTGCATTTGTTTGGTGCTGTGTCGTCCCCAAGTTGTGCTTGCTATGCTTTACGTAGAACTGCTGAGGACAACAAAGATGACTTTCCTGAAAAGGTAATTGACACAATTCACACAAACTTCTACATGGATGATTGTTTGAAAAGTGTACCTTCTGAGGAAGAGGCCGTCTTGATGATCAAGGATCTCACAGATGTCTGCTTAGCAGGAGGTTTCCAGTTAATAAAATGGATCAGCAATAGCCGTATTGTGCTACAAAGTGTACCTGAAGAACACCGAGCCCAGGGCATAAAAATGATGGATCTGGACAAGGACCAGTTGCCAATGGAAAGAGCTCTTGGTTTGTGGTGGTGTGTTGAATCCGACACTTTCAATTTTAAAATAACTAGCAAAGATCATCCTTGCACCAGGCGGGGTGTCCTGTCAAAGGTATGCTCTGTCTATGATCCTTTAGGATTTTTGGCTCCATTCACTCTTACAGCAAAAATTCTCCTGCAAGAGTTATGTAGGATAAGATGTGGATGGGATGATCTGCTACCCTCAAATCTCCAAAGGCAGTGGTCTTTATGGTTAAAAGAGCTTGAGAAGATGGCAGATTTCAAGATGGACAGATGCCTAAAACCAGCAGGAATGGATGAACTTACCAACGTTCAGTTGCATCATTTTGCTGACGCAAGTACACTTGGATATGGCACTGTGACGTACCTTAGGATGGAGACAAAACATGATGTTCACGTAACATTCCTACTCAGTAAAGCTAGAGTAGCACCTTTGAAATCAGTAACTATTCCACGTCTTGAATTGACAGCTGCTGTGCTTGCTGCTCGAGTGGACAAAATGTTAAGGGCAGAGATGCAGTTTCCATTGGTTGATTCAGTATTCTGGACAGATAGTACGTCCGTGTTGAAATACATAAAAAATGAGGACAAACGTTTTCTTACCTTTGTCGCCAACAGGATCTCTGCAATAAGAGAAATTACAACACCATTACAGTGGCGATACATACCTACGACTCAAAATCCAGCAGACTGTTGCTCCAGAGGTCTGAAAGCAGATCAGCTGTTAACAAACAGAGAATGGATCAATGGACCAAGTTATCTGTGGAAACCAGTGGAAGAATGGCCAGCACAAATATTTGATTCTGCTCTTAAAGCAGATGATCCTGAAGTCAAGAGGAACATATGTGTAAATAGCACTCTTGTAAGTGAACAGTCAAATGCTACTCATAGGCTGATTACTCATTTCTCAGACTGGACAAAGTTGAAGGTTGCTGTTGCTTGGCTCTTGAAATTAAAGACAGTTCTGAAACAACGAAGTCAAAAGAGAAAGGAAATTCAAGCCTCTTTAGACTCTTCTGGAGTAACTTCTAAAAAGACGGAGAAAGAACTTCGAAAACTAACTGGTTCTGTGGTTACACCAAATTTAAGTTTGCAGGATTTGAATAAAGCTGAAGTAGCTATTGTTGCATTCAGTCAAAGGCAACAGTTTAAAAAGGAAATCGATGCTCTGTCAGTTTCACCTGTTTCAAAAATAAGCCGAGACAGCAAGCTGTATAAATTGGATCCCGTCTATCAAGATGGTATTTTGAGAGTAGGAGGACGATTGAGAAATTCTGCTATGCCGGAAGAAAGAAAGCATCCGATCATTCTGGCTAAGGATCAGCATATTGCCACGCTCATCTTGCGTCATATACACCAACAGTTAGGTCACAGTGGAAGAAATTATATGCTTTCAGAGCTGAGGAAAAGATATTGGATCATTAAGGGTAATGCAGCTGCCAGAAGGATTATATCGAGTTGTGGCCATTGTAGACGTTTTGGAGTTAAGGTGGGTGAGCAGAAGATGGCAGACTTGCCAAAGGAACGACTCCTTCCCGATTTGCCTCCATTTTCGAATGTTGGGGTGGATTATTTTGGTCCTGTGGAAGTTAAAAGAGGACGCTCCATTGTAAAACGTTACGGAGTCATCTTTACTTGCATGGCAAGTCGAGCAGTTCATCTGGAAGTCGCCTACTCATTGGACACTGATTCATGTATTAACACTCTTCGAAGATTTATCTGCAGACGAGGGCAAGTAACTCAAATAAGATCAGATAATGGTACCAACTTTGTTGCCGCAGAAAAGGAATTAAAGGAATCACTGAGATCATGGAATCAAAACAAGATTCAAAGGGCAATGCTCCAGAAAGGTGTCCAGTGGAGTTTCAATCCTCCAGGAGGTTCGCATTATGGTGGAATCTGGGAACGTGTAATCAGAATGGTCAAAAGAATTTTGAATTCCATCCTACATCAGCAGATTTTGGATGATGAAGGATTCCATACTGTACTATGTGAAATTGAGGCCATTCTAAATGATCGCCCAATAACTAAGTTGTCAGATGACCCGAATGATTTGGAGCCACTTACTCCAAACCATCTTCTTCAGATGAAAGGTAAACCAGTATTACCACCTGGATTATTTGAAAAATCTGAATTATACAGCAAGAGGAGATGGAAACAGGTCCAGTATATGTGTGACTTATTCTGGAAAAGATGGACAAATGAATATTTGCCTTTGCTTCAAGATCGGCAGAAATGGAATAAGGAAAGGAGAAACTTTGTTCCTGGTGACATTGTTGTCATTGTGGACTCGTCTGCCCCTCGAGGGTCTTGGTTAATGGGGCGAATTCTGGAGGTTTTTCCAGATAAAAATGGACTTGTTCGTTCTGTGCGAGTACAAACTAAAACCAGTGTACTTGAGAGACCCGTGACAAAACTTTGTCTGTTGTATGACAACATGGAAATATAATGGACTGATGGTAAAGACTGTTAAATTTGACACCTACACAGAATTGATTAATGCAATGTTTATAGTGTTGCTTTAATGGCTCTTTGTATGTACATTGTTGAATTGTTATGTCTACCTGCCATGTACAATTAGGGGCCGGGGTGTAAGAGCCATTATGTTTTTTGTAATGCTGTTTTTGACCACTGGGTGGAGTGGGGGTTTGGAGGAGTATATAGGTAGACAAAGACTTAGAACAACAGGTGTGTAATTAGAGGGAAGCACAACATTTTTTGACCGTGTTTGAAAGAGCTTTATTGAGGCATTCAATGTGATTTTATGAGCATTTATATATCAGACTGTGAGTGGAAATTGAACCATAAGAACTGTCTGTACAAAAAATAAATCTGATAAGCAGTATTTGGAGGATGATTCGTTTGTTGAGCTCTCACGCGTCAGAAACAACCCTACAACACCTCAAGTGACAAAATGGTCATTTGTGTCACTACAATATATATATATATATATATATATATATATATATATATATATATATTTATATAATGTAGATAGACTTTGTCACAACCTCTATATGATAGACTGACAAGACAATATTACACACTTTATACGGCCATTAATCGGCTGTAAGTATATATAAACAATATTGTCTAAATACTAAATCTCTAGATATTTTAGGGTAAAAAATTTTAGATCATAAAAGAAGCAGCAGATACAGGTTTTACTTGAATAAACATTATTTATAATAAACACTAACATTAAAATTAGGTAAAACTCATGTAAATCAAATATTATAATGATTTTACTGCTCAGTGTACTCCCGAAGTATTTGCAAAAATTAAATAAAACATTATTTTGAAATATACTTCACTTTTCGTCTTGTACAATTTATTATTAAAGGTATGATTATCCATTACCTCGTAGACTACATTGTAGGTTCTGTAAAACAAATTTGCGAGCTGGATTTACAAATATTTGGGTATTTCAATGAAATTAAATGGATTATTTTACTGCTTTAATTTGAATTTGACTTTAATTAGTGTGTGTAAATATCCAGTAGATGGCACTGTTTGGCGCTTGGCAAGCACATTAATGGAAGAAACAGCGCATGCGCAGAAGAGGACGAGCGGGGCTAAATGAGTTGAAAGTTTGTTTGACTTTTCACTTTGGGTCGTGTTTGTTATTATTCGACGAACCTGTTAAGGGTTTCGGTGGATGTCGACACATTTTTGACAAGAACCTTCTTTGAAAACGAGGTATTTCACGGATTAAAAAACATGCTTGATTTTTCTAGATATTTTCCTGTGAGTCACTGACAGCAGTGACATTGAATAAACAATCAAAACTATCAATATTGATCTCATACTCCAGGTAAAACTGATGACCACAAAAATAACAGTCTAAAGAGTAAAAGGAGAGCGAGGGATCCAGAAACACCCAGAATGAATCATGAAGATGCGGAGGAGCACACAGGTTTGTGTCTATTCGTGATATTGTGGTTTGAGTTAATTCGCTCTAAAAAAACAGAAGAAATGCAGATAAATTGTTATAATTGTTTTTTAAATGATCTGAAATTAACATTTGAAATGGATTTAATCTACTTAGACCAACACTTTCTGCTAATAAATGAGGATTTTGATTCATAACCTTCTGCACCTGATTTCGACCACTTGATATTAATTTAGACTTGAAGAGAGTTATGGAGAAAAGACAAACTGATTGAAGTGGACTAATATTATCAAAACCCAGAGAATAAAATGCAAAAAGCTGCAAACTCGTCATAACAGTGGAAAAATCATGTGTTTTTATAATATACAATTGTCCTCCATGTTTTTAGTTAATTTTTTATGTCCATTCAAGAACATCGTTTAAGATTAGAGGTTTCTCTCTGTTGCTCTGAGAACTAAGCTCTTGATAGAGGTAAAGTTAGTTTTATATTCACACATTCGTTCATTTAGAAGTCTCTGTATTGTTTACCATGTAACTTTGAATATTCGATCGGAATTAGCATGCAAGTGTGACTTGAAAACAACATTAGCACTGTGTATTTGACTGTGAACAATGTTGTACTTTGATAGTCATTGGCTGCTATTATGATTTCCCTATTAAGAATTTGCAATGAATACTTTTCTGAAATGATATTATTAAGGAAAATGTCTGAATATCCTAATATAAAACCAACTTTACTTCTATAAGCTCTTGTTACTGATTTAGAAACTTGTATAAGTTTTACAAGAAATATATTTAGGCCTCGGAAAAGCGGCAGAAGATGAATGAATATTTATTAATATTGATTGAATATGAGATTTATGACGTTATTTATTTATTTACCAATGTTAACTATATTGCGTTCGGATTTGTACACTACATCGTGTAGATAAACAATCATAGACGCTGTAAAATATTAATAAACAAACTGGAAGATTAAGCTGTTTCCTCAGGTACTAGAGGCGTTTTGTCTTTTGAAGTTGTTTAGCGCCCTCTAGAGGAGGGTTTTGGTCAATACTGAACACGACCATTGCAAATAGATATGAAAATCATAGATGTTAATGTTACAACTATTCAGCAAATATTATAATGCGTACAATCTGTAAATATCCCTACTAAAACAGCTTAAACCAGCCCAGCTGGTCATCCATGCTAGGTTTAGATGGCTTTTCAGACTTGTTAATTGGTTTGTCAGGCTAGTTTTAGAGGGGTTTTTACTACTTTTTAGCTGGTCTTAATTGGTCAGGATGGTCTTCTTAGCTAGTTGTAAGCTGCTCTTAGCTGGTCTTAGTTAGCCAGGCTGGTCTTAATATAAGTATGCTATATAATTGATATAAATAACTGTGGGCGGTTTGTTCACGTTTGCTGAAGAAATAATGTGCTCCTTTTTTCCCGGCTTCTCCTTTTTTTTTTCGCGCTTCACTCTCGTGTTTGTCATTGTCTGACAGGATCGGGTTTCGAAAGCACGTCAATAATCAAGCGCATGTAATTATCATCAGCTCAAGAAGTTTGTTATTTCAGATATTAGGCCCCGGAAGTGACAGTGGAAACATGACTGGCCTTGGCTTGCTCTCTTTAGGCGCGATAGTGGAAACGCAGCTATTGATCTGCAGTTATAATCAAATCATGACGTCGACTGAAACGTTTTGTCGTACACCACGCCCACTCTTGGTACCCTTTAGGCCAGGGGTGTCAAACTCAATTCCTGGAGGGCCGAAGCCCTGCACAGATTAGTTCCAACCCTGCTCCAACACACTTACCTGTAGGTTTCAAACAAGCCTGAAGGATTAAATTAGTTTGATCAGGTGTGTTTAATTAGGGTTGGATCTAAACTGTGCAGAGCTGCGGCCCTTTTGGAACTGAGTTTGACACCTGTGCTCTACACAGTCCTGGAGAGCCGGTGTCCTCCTGAGTTTGGCTCCAACTTGCTTCAACACACCTGCCATGAAGTTTCTAGTTAATCTAATATATATAGTAAGCTTGGTTAGCTGCTTCAGGTGTGTTTGATTAGATTTGGAGCTAAACTGAGTTTGACACCTGTGCTTTAGGCAGTGGAAATGCAATCCTGATAAAGGTGACCCATACTAAACTGTAATGTACCAGTCAGTGGAAACAAGCGATAAGATACTGTCAGATACTAAGAGAGACTTGCGATCTCTTCGGTAGTTATTTAAGATGTTAAATCTGGGTTCGTCTGAACTGACTCTGATTTTTATTTCAGACCAGATGGAGGCGAATGAGCAAAGAGAAGAACTGAATGAAGAGAAAGACAAACAAAGAACCAAAACAACACATCTGCACAGCTGTCGTCAGTGTGGAAAGAGTTTCAGAAGAAAAGCCAACCTGAACATGCACAGAAAGACTCACGCTGGAGAGAAACCGTACACCTGTACTGAATGTGGAAAGAGTTTCTCACAGCTGGACAGTTATAAACAGCACCAGAAAACACATGAAGACAAGAGAGATCATGAGTGTTTGCAGTGTGGGAAGAGCTTTACTAGAGCTGGTAGTCTGAAACGACACCACATGATTCACACCGGAGAAAAACCTCACAAGTGCTCATATTGTGAGAAGAGTTTCAGTGTACCGGAACACTTGAGAGTACATGAGCGAATTCACACTGGAGAAAAGCCGTATTGCTGTACTCAGTGTGGTCATGATTTTAGCTCATCGTCAAGTCTGAAAATACACATGAGAATTCACACGAATGAGAAGCCTTATGCATGTCTGTTCTGTGAAAAGAGATTTTCACGTCTGGATGAACAAAAAATGCACCAGAAAACACACACTGACGAGAGAGATCATGTGTGTTTGGACTGTGGGAAGAGCTTTATTAGAGCTGGCAGTCTGAAAATCCACCAAATGATTCACACTGGAGAAAAACCTCACAAGTGCTCATATTGTGAGAAGAGTTTCAGACAGTCTAGAGACTTGAAAAGACACGAGCGAATTCACACTGGAGAAAAACCTCTCAAGTGCTCATATTGTGAGAAGAGTTTCAGTCTACCGGGACACTTGAGAAGACATGAGCGAATTCACACTGGAGAGAAGCCGTTTACCTGTACTCAGTGTGGTCATGATTTTAGCTCATCGTCAAGTCTGAAAATACACATGAGAATTCACACGAATGAGAAGCCTTATGCATGTCTGTTCTGTGAAAAGAGATTTTCACGTCTGGATGAACAAAAACTGCACCAGAAAACACACACTGACGAGAGAGATCATGTGTGTTTGGAGTGTGGGAAGAGTTTTACTAGAGCTGGCCATCTGAAACGGCACCAAATGATTCACACTGGAGAAAAACCTCACAAGTGCTCATATTGTGAGAAGAGTTTCAGTCAGTCTTCAGAGCTGAAAAGACACGAGCGAATTCACACTGGAGAGAAGCCGTATTACTGTCCTCCATGTCAGAAGAGGTTTAGATGGTCAAAAAGTCTTCTCAGACACATGAGGAAATGTAAGTGGTCTCAGTAAACATTGTTTAGTTTTCGTGTCAGATTCATGCGATGAGGAAAAGGTTGAAACGCTCTGAGAACGCCAGTGTAAATCATTTTAATCTTTCCTTTTTATTATTGTTGTCTGATTAACGACTATTTTTGCCATTTTTTTTTTTGCATGTTTTTATTTGATTGTGTTCTGATTTTACACCAGTTTATGCAGTTAGACACTAATAGAAGCCGTATTAATCAACAGCATTTAGCAGCTTTAAGATTTCATGTCAGTTTTTCGTCTTGTCAGATATAGTTTGTAAGTTGTCTTGTATTTATGTGCTTTTAATCTGTGGCCTACATGTGATGGCATGCTTATGAATTGTTTACATTTTATATTAAAGCTTCAAATTATGATACTCATTTTGGATTATTAAGTTTCATATTTGCATCTTTATCCAACTTCTGAAATAAATTATGCATCAACATGAATGAGGGCTTCAATTCAATCCATGTTTCAAGAGTTCACACTTAGCTGATGTTTGATTATAAAGCTAGTTTGGCATGCAGTCCCGAGAGAGAGCCCTGAGCTCCCTCTCCCTCCTCGAGCCTGAGGCTCCCTCAGGAAGCAAGGCGAGAGGGGAGTTTGAGCTTAGGTAGATCTTGAGAACTCCCCTGTTATGGTGGCTGAAGAGCAGATAGTAGTAGCTAAAAATTCTCACTCCAATCTAAAACCAAAAGTTGGCAGCCCTGTGTTTGTGTTTTTATTGTAAGAAGGTCATTATAAAATGTAAACAAAAAAGGATAATTATTAATACGATTAAAGTATTTTTTCTATTTATTTTTGAATAACACTAGCCCCTTTCACACAGTGATACCGGTAAATATCTGGAAAATTTCCGGAACGACTTTACCGGTATATTGAAAAAAGCGCTGTTCACACAGGCGAGGACGTTACGGAAATTTTCCGGAAAAGAGCATTCACACATCCATTTCAAAATACCGGTAAATTCTGACATCATTCACCACAAATGAGCTTTAAACGGCTGCGCTTGTATTTGTAAACACTTGACTAAATTACAAACTCTGTGGATGATCAATATTGTGAACAACCTTCGCAGGATCACTTTCGCATGTAGCGCTTATTACGGCAATCTTCCTTCTGCATTCACACAGCGCAGCATTCCAGCAAATTGCCGGTAATTTTACAACTTCTCTTTCCGGAAAATAGCCAGAACGAATTTACCGGTATTTTCAAAAAGGACCCGTTCACACATACAACCTTTCCGGAAAATTGCCGGCAATTTTCCGGAAAGGTCTGTATGTGTGAAAGGGGCTAATAATATATTAGTAAATTACCATGATGATTACCTTCGGCCCACAATTAAGTTTAGTTTTTGGCACTTCATAAACAAAAGTTTGGGCACCCCTGATCTAAACAGAAGTATTTTAAAAGTGCCTCAGTGTAATGTGTTTTTATGCCCTGGGGAAGGTTTTTAATGAGAAACGTGTTAGCAAAATCTTTAATAGACTTTTCTCCGCTGTAATATATTATTTTCCTATTTATATTTTCTGTCAAACACTACGTATAGGGGTTGAATTGCTCCAGATAATATCTCTCTAGGCATTTACTGACACAAAACCTTGCTGATTAAACTGAGGTGATAGTAATAACCGGGTTTAGACTTTGGAAGTTTTTCAGCGCCATCTAAAGGAGGCTGCTGCTCCTCTGTGCAAAACGCGCATGCGCGGTGAGGAGGTTTACAACAGTTATGGATACATTTGCGGCAGCAACATAACAGCGTACATCGTAAGTGCAATATGTAAATATAACTGAAATCTATGTCTGTTTATTGCTTCTTTTGGGTGAAATGTATTAGCAAGAACTAATCTTTTATCTTCAAAGGATTATCACAAACGTATATTCATCGTATCAACTACATCCTTGCGTGTTTCTTTAATTTGTGCAACGTTAAGTGTTTGTTTAAGTAAACTTAGAGATTTAATGTACTATTTGTGGGGGTAAATTCGTGTTTTACTAAATTCATGTAATGTTAAACAAGTAGATTACGCTACGAGTAAGATAATGATGTAGCATTTGATACCAATATTCTGACAAAAACACGATAGAGGTACAGTTGTTTCATATTCACACATTGGTTCAGTGACAGACTCTCTATATTGTTTACTATGATACTTTGAATATTCGGTCTGAAATCATGTCTAGGAATGACTTCAAAACAACATTAGCACTATTTAATTGACTAAACAATCCTGTACTTTGATAGTCATTGGCTGCTTAATTCATTATTTAGAATATAGAAGTAAAGCTGGTTTTATATTCACACATTCAGACATTTTCCTTGACAATGTAATTTAGGAAAAGTATTGTTTGCTAATACTAAATATAGAGGTAAAATTGGTTTTATATTCCCACATTGGTTCATAGACACACTCCCTATATTGTTTAGCATGTTACTTTGAATATTCGGTCTGAAATCATAAATAGCAATGACTTTAAAACAACATTAGCATTAATCAACAAAGACATTACTGTAAAAAAATGAAGCTTGTGCATTATAGACAATAATATTCTGACAATATTACAGTTGATTTGAATATTTTATCTCTGATGATGTGAGAGTTTAATTGACTTTTACCATTTTTACATTAAAATATATTTTAAAAATATTATAAAATAAACAAAGTGTTTATTCCAAAAACTGAGTCTTGTGCAATAAGCAGGATGTTTTTCTGCCGGAACATTTTGGTACTGGTTTTATTGTGTCATTTTATATGGTTGAATTATTTAATTCATTTGTATGGTAATTTTTGTATTTAATTTTTAATCAAGAAATTATGCCTTGTGCAACATAAAGGGGTGCCTGCCTATACGACCTATTTTTGACTTAAATCATTACAGGAGCCAAGACTTTAATTATTTTGAAACCGAATGTCTAATAAATGTCAAACAAATTGTTTACTACGTTTTAAATAACTGTAAACAATGCTGTACTTTGATAGTCATTCATTATCTTGTGGGCTTATTCCCTTTATTAATCTGGGGTCACCACAGCGGAATAAACCGCCAACTTATCCAGCAAGTTTTTACGCAGTGAATGCCCTTCCAGCCGCAACCCATCTCTGGGAAACATCCACACACAGACATTCACAAACATTTTAACCTACCCAATTCACCTGTAGCGCATGTCTTTGGACTGTGGGGGAAACCGGAGCACCCGGAGGAAACCCACGCCAACACGGGGGGAACATGCAAACTCCACACAGAAACGCCAACTGAGCCGAGGCTCTAACCAGCAACCTTCTTGCTGTGAGGCGAAAGCACTACCTACTGCGCCACTGCTTTCGCCCACTTTAATAGTCATTGGCTGCTAATATGATTTCATTATTTAGAGTATAGAAGTAAAGTTGGCTTTATATTCACACATTCAGACTTTCTCCTTGATAATATAATTTAGGAAAAGTATTGTTTGCTAATTCTTATTAATGAAATCATATTAGCAGCCAATGACTATCAAAGTACAACATTGATTACAGTCAATTAAATAGTGCTAATGTTGTTTTGAAGTCATTCCTAGATGTGATTTCAGACCGAATATTCAAAGTACCATGGTAAACAATATAGGCAGTGTCACTGAACAAATGTGTAGATAAAAAAAAAAACTTTACCTTTATATTTAGTATTAGCAAACAATACTTTTACTAAATCATATTGTCAAGGAGAAAGTCTGAATGTGTGAATATAAACCAGCTTTACTTCTATAAAAACAAGGTCTTTTTTTAATCCTGTAATAATATTTCATGCTATTTTCAAAGAATTCAATATGGTGTTTTGCTTTTTTTTATCATAAAGATGCTTTCAGCTCTGTATTTTCTTATTGACAATGATAGTAACAAGTAAATATATATTTTTATAATACATTATTATGTAATTTATAAGACATTCAACACAATGCATTAATTTATTATTTTATTTGGGTGGTTCATTCCACTGTGGCAACCCCTGAATAATAAGGGAACTAAGCTGTAGGAAAATGAATAAATTGTTTTTTATTTGACTTCTTCAGATGTTTTCCAAATCGACATGTGGCCCAGTGATCACAGCAAGAAATCTGCAGTAAATTCTGAAGGTATTTCCATCATGAAGATTAGAGGAGCGTCTAAACACACAGGAGATCATTCAGGTTGGTGTTTAATCCAGTGTCTTGATTTTTTTATTGTTGACCAATGACGCTTCTGTTTAACAGATTTAGATTAATTGTAATCAATTAGCACTGTAATTAGAATAAACAAAAGAGAATAACTTTTTAATCATAGTGTTGTTTTGACAGTGCCAGTGCTGTAGTTATAAACAAACTGAATGACAGAATTAAAGGGGTTACATCAAAAAATTATAACGATTTATATGAGTTAATAAAGCTGCACGAATCTGAGTAAAAAGATCATTTTTTTGCTTAGAATAATCATGTTTCTGTAGAACTTTTTTATTTTATTTTCAATAAAAATTGGCAATAAAATAATACTCTTTATTTCAGTTCAGGGAAATGTTATAAAAAGTGTAATGTGTAAGAAATAGGGTTGTAGGAATGGATTAAAGTCATAATTCGATATGTATTTCTATAGTGTCTTGTCGATATTGCTTGCTAAAAAAAATGTAAGAGTTTAAGAGTTTTAAATTTTACTGAAGACAATCACCTATTGCACCTTTAACTGTGCAGGACAAAATATTGGCTTCTGATGACACTTTCATGTCATGAAACAGGATGTTTTACGTGTCTACAACATATAAGGGAACAATCAAGTCTTCATTCATGCACTGTTTAACAGAAACCATCAGAAACTGTAAAACATTAAAACATTTTATTTTCAAGTTCTCACAATAGAAAACAAAAGAGTTAAAGCTTTGAAGGACTGGTTCACTCAAAAAATAAACTCTGGCATAATTGTACATTTGTTCCAAACCTGTTTGTATTAACAGGTAACCACATAATTCATTAGTATAGTGTAGGGCAGGGATGTCCAAACTTAATCCTGGAGGGCCGATGTCCTGGAGAGTTTAGCTCCAAATCTAATCAAACCTGCAAACCTAAAGCAGCTAACCAAGCTTACTAGATATATTAGATTAACTAGAAACTTCCTAGCAGGTGTGTTGAAGCAAGTTGGAGCTAAACTCAGCAGGACACCGGCCCTCCAGGACTGAGTTTAGACACCCCTGGTGTAGGGGCTACTTTTGCACCCATTACAGCATCAGTTTGTCTTAGGAATGACAGGTCCTGCACAGTGGCCAGAGAAATTTTGAGCCATTCCTCTTGCAGAATTGTGGCCAGGTCACTACATGATGCTGCTGAAGGAGAATATTTCCTGACTCTCTTTTCCAAAACACCCTAAACTGCTCAATAATGGTTAGATCCGTAGACTTTACAGGCCTTGGGAGATGTTCAACTTCACTTTCATGTTCATCAAACCACTTAGTCAACAGTCTTGCTGTGTGTATCGGTGCATTATTATCCTGATATACCGCACTGCCTTCAGGATACAATGTTTGAACTATTTCTTCACATGGTCCTCCGGAATGGTTTGGTAGTCCTTGGCAGTGACATGCCCATTTAGCACAGGTATTCGGCCCATAGGAAGTGCCATGATATTGCAGCCCCAACCGTCACTGATTCACCCCATGCTTCACTTTGGGCATGCAACAGACTGGGTGATGTGCTTTTGGGGGGCATCTTCACACTGTAACTGTCCCGGATGTGGGAAAGACAGTGAAGGTTGCCTCATCGAAGAACAATATAAATTTCACATTGTCCACAACCCAAGATTTTCACTGCTGGCTCCATTGAAACGGATGTTTAGCATTGGCATGAGTGACCAAAGGTTTGGATGTAGCAGTCAGCCATATAATCTGAGCCAGTGGAGTCGGGCAGCTTTGGTTTCATGTTTTTTGGATACAATCTGGGTTAGCACCCAGACATCCCTTTCCCCTTGCATCCACAGTTACTCCTGTTGGATGTGGTTCGTTCTTCTTGCTGGTTTGCTGACATTACCTTGAATACTGTGGCTCTTGATGCATCACAAAGTCTTGCTGTCTTGATTGCAGATGTGCCAGAGAGATGTGCCCTAATGATTTGTCCTCTTTTGAACTCTCATATGTCACATAATGTTGTGTGCATTGCAATAATATAAGCAAAAATGCTATTACTCTGCGAGTTAAAGCTTCACACTCTGCTGTTGAATGTGCAGTCAAGGAAGATTGGCAACCAGGTTGTCAAATTTAGCCACGAAACTGCTGTCCAACCACTGTATGTGTGTCAATTGCTAGTTTACAGCCTTCTTCAACATATCATGTGTGTTTATGAGTGAAAAAATAAACCCATAAACGTTTAGAAACACTTGATAGCAGGCCCGGATTGGCTAATCGGGAGGACCGGGAGAATTCCCGGTGGGCCGGTCCGTTTTTTGGCCGTGAGGGCCGGTGTCCCTAGCTCCAGAATCTGTTGCTCTCAGCAGTCACAGTTTTTAAATGAATTTATTTATTTACTTGACCACAGCCTTCTTATTCATTATTTTACCGCAATGATTTGATGATTTAATGATGATATAACTCAGATGAGTCTGTTGGAATATCTTTCTCTATTCCATGCGTGTTCAATAAGAAAAGGTCTGGAGAGGGTTTTCTTCAATGCCAAAAATATTAGTAATTTATTAGATACAAATGAATAATTCGATGACAGAGCTCTGGGTTACGTTACCCCAATGCAATACAAGAATTACATTCAGGAGGTTCGCAGCGCAACTGACTTACATTTCCTGACTCCAGTATATATATACACAACTGATCTTAACAGGTGGATTTTTGGTTTAACGTCACTTATCAGTCATTCTGCAGTCCCTTGGCTCTTTGCAACCCCTGGACATTACTTCCTCTTTCTGCAACCTTTCTCTGCATACCAGAACTGAACAATTAAGTGCATCTTTATTATATATTTCACAACTTCTACAAGCATCAGGACAACTTGTGACATGTCTAGACTATAGTTCTGGAACAAAGGCCCCCACCCTCAATTTATTCTTATTCTGCTTTTCCACTAGTCAGCAGTTTTTCTAAAAAGTATGCAGCACAGTAAAAAAGAGGAAGTTTGTCTGGTCAAGACATTTTATAATACAAAAGAGAAAGATTGATTAATCTGTTGTTAGTCTAAACATTTTTCTAATAAAAAAATACAAAAGTAATAAAAATAAATTCCTTTTCTCTAAGTCACCTCTGAATGTACAGCCGTTGTGGTCCAGTGGTTAGCACAGTAGGTTATGATGCCACCGACCCGGGTTTGATCCTCGTCTGAGTTATTTATTTTTAAAAAAATTTTTGTTAAGACATAAAATACTGTTAGGGTTGTTGAACATTTGAAGTTCTAAAGCAGCTGTTTTCTCAACAACAACAAAAAAAGACGTGATAGTGTAATTAGAAACTGAATTGGAAATGACCTTATTTTAATATAGTCAGTCGTGAACTGAGGTGAACCGGTCTGAGGCTTGAAACTCCAGGGCTGAAAAGGAGTCCCACTCCGGCCCTCGTTGATAGTGAGTAAATTGTCATCTTTGGTACCTCAAACCTCAAAAGGTTGACCCTCACACAGTAAGCTGATCTCTGTAGATTTCTGCTGTTAAATCAGACTTCACATCTGACTCGATTTTTATTTCAGATCAGATGGAGGAGAATGAGCAAAGAGAAGAACTGAATGAAGAGGACGAGAAATGCGACTTCGAGACTCAAGGAGCAGAAACTAAACATCTGCACAGCTGTCCTCAGTGTGGAAAGAGTTTCGCAAGCAAAGGAAACCTGAACATGCACATAAAGACTCACTCTGGAAAGAAACCCTACATCTGCACTGAATGTGGAAAGAGTTTCACACGACTGGATAATTGTAAACAGCACCAGAAAACACACAATGAAGTGAGAGATCATGTGTGTTTGGAGTGCGGGAAGAGATTTAATCAAGCTGGCAATCTGAAAAGACACCAAAGGATTCACACTGGAGAGAAACCCTACAAGTGCTCATATTGTGAGAAGAGTTTCAGTCATTCGGGACACTTGAAATCACACGAGCGAGTTCACACTGGAGAAAAGCCGTATCACTGCACTCAGTGTGGAAAGAGCTTCAGATGTAGTTCTGGTCTCAGGTTACATCTAAATGTTCACACCGGAGAAAAACCATACAAGTGCTCGTATTGTGAGAAAAGTTTTGCTTGGTCTGTAAACCTGAAATCACACGAGCGCGTTCACACCGGAGAGAAGCCGTATTACTGTCCTCCATGCCAGAAGAGTTTCAGATGGTCACAAAATCTTTTCAAACACATGAAGAAATGTAAGTCGTCACAGTGAGGAGGGTTCAGCTTTCATTTCAAATTCATTCAAGACGAGAAATCTGATCTCTGTTTATATATTTATTTTATTTTTTGATAATCATCATCATTTCTAAGGGTGCTTTTTACACATAGACATTTGTTTCGGAGCCTGTTTCATTCGCCCAGTTAGTGCGGTTCTTAAAGACCTTTTTCTTGGAACGCAAAATTACCCATGATGCTTTGGGTGTATGCGCAAGGAGAATGCGAAGAACTTCCGGTCGGCAGCTGATGCGTGTAAACAGTCACATTTGGACAGCTTTGAAACGATAGTTTTAATCTCTTTTACATGCTTTTATCCTCTTTGAACTAATACTGTTGTCCATCAGCGCCATCTCCTGGACTGATCATTTAAAGAAATGCAATCTAATAGGATGGAAAACAGCTGCTGTGAGGCGTTTTCCCCTCGTTGTCAGACGGTATCTTCTGCAGTTTAAATGAAGCCTCGTCCTCGCTAAAGTCAACATTTTCTCTTTATTTCAAATACATAACCAGCCCAAACAAATGTAAATCACCAAAATGTTTGACACACACATGTAGCCTGTACTGTGCCACTGACACACTGATTTAATAACTGTGACAAAGTGAAAATATAGGCTAGTGTCATTTCAAAATTACAGAAAAACACAAACCGTGGTAAAAACAACACACGAAATGAAACACAAACGGCTCGCGATTAGAATGAACAGCAAATCAGCCAGCAGAGTATCAATAACAGACTTTTATTGGTCATTTTTGTAAATTGCACGACTTTCATACCTGTTAAGTTTCATGCCAGTACTCTGGTTTGCTCTCTCTCTCTCTCTGTGCGTGTGTGTGTGTGTGTGTGTGTGTGTGTTAAAGAGCCGCTGAGCTAACAGCTGACAGGCCGGGAACGCACACACACACACACTGTATTTCTGACGGCAGACACGTGAACCAGGAGAACGTTTTTCTCGTATTTCTGACGCGCTTGAACCACATGTGACAGATTATAAGGGCTTTAACAGACACATTTCTAAGTTGCGTGTCACAAAAACACTCGGTTATCCATTAAAAACGTTATTGAAATCCATTTTCGGAGCGCAAACTACCAGTTGTACACGGAAGTTTTTAGCATTCTACCGGAAGACGCTGGTCGCTATGGCGCCCTCCATGCAGCAGCCATGAAAAAGGTCTATAGCATATTTGAATCCAGCGATCGTATCTGTGCCAAATCAATCGGTCTGAGATCGCCTAAATGAGGTGTTCTCGGCTCGATTGAAACAAACTGGTAAACCGGTAAATATGCGTTTCATGACGAATATGAAAGTGAAAGCAAGCTGAGATACTACCAAGAGCTGTTTTTCCGATAGGAAAATTGACCGTAATTACCATCTGATAACTTTTCCATATATTAATCTTATAATATTTTGTATTCAGCCTATTGTTTAGTTCATTTCTGCACTGACACCTCAAAAGAAAGATCAACATTGATCTGCTTCATGATCTGACTGCAGTCTCGCTTCATCTGTCATCTCTCTCTATAATTTAAGCCTGTAATGCAGAATTCTAGCCAACGTTTCTTAATAGATTCATTTAATAGATCGATTTTTCCAAAACTTGACAACTCAAATGAGGCTCTGTATGTAAAAGTCTTACCCTTCTGATTTATATTTGCTGACGGTGTTTGTGGGTGTCAAAATTAAAGTGCACATGTTCACTTATAACAGTGGTCACCAGACTTGTTCCTGGAGGGCCGGTGTCCTGCAGATTTTAGCTCCAACCCTAATCAAACACACCTGAACAAGGTAATCAAGGTCTTACTAGGTATACTTGAAACATCCAGGCAGGTGTGTTGAGGTAAGTTGGAGCTAAATCCTGCAGGGACACCGGCCCTCCAGGACCGAGATTGGTGACCCGTGATTTATAATGTCTTATTGCTCATCATCATAAATTAAAATCCATCGGAGTCTGGAAATAAACCCTGAAACTCTGACCAATGTGAGGAGAGTTTACTCGTACATGACTTGTTTTAGCCATTTTAGCCTGTTTAGAAACTTTGCCGTGTGAAAGCGAACTGCACCAAGAACCATTTTATCAATTTTAATACTTTTCAGAACAAAACAATGCACCTACATTGTGTGAAACGCACTCTGAAACAACACAAAAAACTCAGAAATGATAAGCGTTAAGCACATTCATCTTGTAGAAAGAAAATATCAAATGTTATAACGGTGTATTGTTTTATAATTCTGACTGGTTCATTCCATAATTAAGGAACAAACAACAAGCTTTGAGCTGATTGTGCATGAGCTTGTAGTTTGATAATAAACTAAAAAACAGATTAACTGGAATTATGTGGTTGATTGTTTTCTATTTAGGCGACACAGTAGCTCAGTTGTTAGCACTGTTGCTCCGGTTTCCACCACAGTCCAAACACTTGCGCTATAGGTGAATTTAACAAACTAAGTGTATGTAGTGTATCAGTGCTGTAGTGTATGAGTGTGTGTGTGTAAATGTGTGTATGGGTGTTTTCCAGTACTGGGTTGCAGCTGGAAGGGCATGTACTGTGTAAAAGATACTGGAAAAGTTGACAGTTCATTCCACTGTGGAGACCACTGATGAATAAAGGGACTAAGCTGAAGGAAAATGAATGAGTGAATGTTTTCTATGTACAAATAGCTTTTAATACTGAAAGAGACCTGATTTAGTGGGTTTGTGTTATTAAATTGGTTTACAGTACTTCACTTTTCACTCGTGAACAATTCTGTGAATGAAAAATTACAAGAAATTTGTTGTGCAGTTTATAGCCTGTTAACACCAATAAAACGAGATTAATGTGTCAATTTACAGAAGATTTCAGACATTATAATAATAAATGAAGAGAAAACTTAATTGTTTAACAGCTCAGTTACACTTTATGTCCCTTTCATTTAATCCATTTGTCATGTTTAACTAAATAAGCAGACACATATGAGGCTATAACTATACAGATAATAAATATAATAATATAGTAATAGTAATAAATAGATGTTTAACTTTCAGTTTCATCATGTCTGACTATCTCTAGCTGAACTCAACAGTTTGTTATGCTGCTTGTAAGGCGTGAGATATCACAAATACTTTGATGTCTTTGACAATTCAAACATAAGCCAAAAACAGAGACAATTGGCTTCACAACCCAGCAGGTGGGAATGCGGGAAAGAACCAGTTCCACTGAAACTCGACTTCAACCATCTTACCTCACACATATGGTCATTTCAATGTCTAAATTAACACAACCCTGCTGAAAAATCCAGCTTAAACCAGCCTAGGCTGGTTGGCTGGTTTTAGCTGGTCGACCAGGCTGGTTTTAGAGGGGTTTTGGCCACTTCCAGGCTGGTTTCCAGCCATTTCCAGCCTGGTCTTAGCTGGTCAGGCTGGAAAATGACCAGCCAAATCCAGCTAAAACCAGCTTGACCAGCCTGGTTTAAGCTGGATATAGCTGGTTTTGGCTGGACTTTCAGCTTGGCTAGGCTGGTCAAGCTGGTTTTAGCTGGTCATCTCCCAGCCTGACCAGCTAAGTCCAGGCTGAAAATGGCTGGAAACCAGCCTGGAAGTGGCCAAAACCCCTCTAAAACCAGCCTGGTCGACCAGCTAAATCCAACCAGCTTAGGCTAGTTTAAGCTGGATTTTTCAGCAGGGAAGTGACTTTATCTATCATGTTTGATATCATTTGAAATGTCTCAGTGCGACTGGTACAATGGTCTCATTCACCCTGAAATAGACATAATCAAAACAATAAATATATAACTTCAGGCATCTTTTGAACCACTGTGAAGGGTGTGACTTTCCCACAGGCAGCACTAAATGTGAATGCCTTTTGTTATGCACACACCCCTTTCTTGAGGGGATTCTTGGATTACTTAAGGTAAGGTTTGAGAAATGTTTGGCGCGATTCTGCTTACCCAGATCAGTTATGTATATTTGGAACTTGGAAGTCAGGAATGCATCTTTTCATCTTGGATTTGTCTTTGATAATTTGATGTCTTGTATTGATCAGTTATGAATTGACTGAATGAATTGGCATAATACATAATACCTGACTAATAAATTGTTATGTTTTGAATTATTCAAACCTTGTGTCATTATCACTGGTAAATGTTGTTGTCCATAGCACTACAAGCCACTGTACAGGTTAGTAACGGACTAAAGTTAGACGGAGCAGCGTGGCATGCTATACAATGTTGTTAGAGATCCGACTAACACATTGGCATTAATTCAAGTATACTTAGACTGTAAAAGGCCAACTATTTAGAACAACAAAATATTGTTGAAACTAATCTAAATGTGGGTATTTAGGCCTTCATCTACAAACGTATAATCCTGTGCCATTATTATTAAAATACTTTGTCTTGATTTAGTAGATAACAGATCTATGGGGGCCACATAAAAATCTCCTAAATTGAGTAAGTAGGGTTCTGCCGTTTTAGGAGAGGTTAATCGCCTCTGTTTAATGACCAAGACTGACAAGCTTGTATTAAGAGATTGTATACCCGGCCGGTGCAAGACTCGGGATGCTATAGGAATCTGAGTAAATGAGAATAAGGTATAATAACACATCGAAAGAATATACCCTGCTGAAAAATCCAGCTTAAACCAGCCTAGGCTGGTTGGCTGGTTTTAGCTGGTCAACTAGGCTGGTTTTAGAGGGGTTTTGGCCACTTCCAGGCTGGTTTCCAGCCATTTCCAGCCTGGTTTTAGCTGGTCAACTAGGCTGGTTTTAGAGGGGTTTTGGCCACTTCCAGGCTGGTTTCCAGCCATTTCCAGCCTGGTTTTAGCTGGTCAGGCTGGGAGATGACCAGCTAAAACCAGCTTGACCAGCCTAGCCAAGCTGGGAGTCCAGCCAAAACCAGCTATATCCAGCTTAAACCAGGCTGGTTAAGCTGGTTTTAGCTGGATTTGGCTGGTCATTTTCCAGCCTGACCCGCTAAGACCAGGCTGGAAATGGCTGGAAACCAGCCTGGAAATGGCCAAAACCCCTCTAAAACCAGCCTGGTCAACCAGCTAAAACCAGCCAACCAGCCTAGGCTGGTTTAAGCTGGATTTTTCAGCAGGGATATTCAATCATAATCTAAAATAATGTGAAAGGAAACAAAATAATCTTCTCAATGTTTTATAATTGGAGTCAGATAAAACGAGGATAAATGTATTCAATTTCTAAACCACCTCATACTAAAATTGGAGTCAGATATGAGTTAAGTTTAATATAAATCAACATTGTGCACTGGAAAGACCGAACATGCAGTGAACCTTCATCCACCATTGGATACCGTCATTGGACCAACTGGCTGGACCCTACACTGCTTTATATTGGTTTGGCTATATTGTTTTATAGTATTATTTTAATTTAATCAACACTGATTTACACAAACATGATCTCTTTTCTCCCGATCTCAGATAAATAAACATTTTAATGAGCAAACTATATAATATACTTTCAATAAAACATTTATAAATGATTTTGTAATAATTATGCACGTTTAGTTGAGGCTTTTAGACAATTAATGACACAAATACTTTGCTGACTAAACTGAAGCGATTTATTTACCGCGTTTTGGCTTTCGTTGCTAAAGCGCCATCTGGAGGAAGTTACCGCTCAGTGTGAAACACGCATGCGCAGTACGGAGATTCACCAGTCCAGAGATGAGAAAAAACTTTGCGGCGGGAACATGCAGCTAACAGAGTAAGAGCCTTTTATAAACGGAAAATAAATGTCTGTTAGTGTAATATTGCTTTAGATTAACTGTAACAACATTATGTCTGACATATATTCAGTTTATCCACTTCATCATAAATAGGTTCGTGTGTGAAGTCTGTATAATATTCAAGTAATCCAACATGGTGTTTTACATTTATTTATATAAGATACATAGAGATAGTTTCAGCACTGTATTCATTTTATTACTGATAACGGCAGAAACTACTTGTATTATTTTGTTATATATTATTTTATGTAATATGATTGATTTATATTTTAATTTATATAATTTGTTTTTGATGTGTTCACAGTGAATCACAGCCTTTCCTACATGCTGAAAATATCCCATCATAAAGGCTAGTAGAGCATCTAAACAAGCAGGAGATCATTCAGGTTGGTGAATATATATATATATATATATATATATATATATATATATATATATATATATAACTTTTTTCCTTTTATATATTTGCACTGATTTCAGGTGTAAATTATTAATTGTTACTGGGTGTCATGGCACCTATCACTATCCCTTTCACACTAGTACATCAGATTCAAAGTTTGATATTTAAACTTAAAGTGTTTCACTTGAACTGATTTTCACTTTGTTTATTTTAGATCAGATGGAGGAGAATGAGCAAAGACAAGAAGAGGATGAGGAACGCAACTTCAACACTAAAGGAACTAAAACAACACATCTGCACAGCTGTCGTCAGTGTGGAAAGAGTTTCAGAAGAAAATCCAAACTGAAAAAACACAGAAAGACTCACGCTGGAGAGAAACCGTACACCTGTACTGAATGTGGAAAGAGTTTCTCACAGCTGGACAGTTATAAACAGCACCAGAAAACACATGAAGACAAGAGAGATCATGAGTGTTTGCAGTGTGGGAAGAGTTTTACTAGAGCTGGTAATCTGAAAATCCACCAGAGGATTCACACTGGAGAAAAACCTCACAAGTGCTCATATTGTGAGAAGAGTTTCAGTCATTCAGGACACTTGAGAGTACATGAACGAATTCACACTGGAGAAAAGCCGTATCACTGCACTCAGTGTGGTCACGATTTTAGATCATCGTCAATTCTGAAACTACACATGAGAATTCACACAAATGAGAAGCCTTATGCATGTCTGTTCTGTGAAAAGAGATTTTCACGTCTGGGTTCTTGTAAACAGCATCAGAAAACACACACTGGCGAGAGAGATCATGAGTGTTTGCAGTGTGGGAAGAGCTTTACTACAGCTGGTTATCTGAAAATCCACCAAATGATTCACACTGGAGAAAAACCTTACACATGCTCATATTGTGAGAAGAGTTTCAGACAGTCTGGAGACTTGAAAAGACACGAGCGAATTCACACTGGAGAAAGGCCGTATCTTTGTACTCAATGTGGAAAGAGTTACAAAGACAAATCCAGTCTGACTTATCATCTGCTTGTTCACACTGGAGAGAAGCCGTTTACCTGTACTCAATGTGGTCATGATTTTAGATCATCAACAAGTCTGAAACTACACATGAGAATTCACACAAACGAGAAGCCTTATGCATGTCTGTTCTGTGAAAAGAGATTTTCACGTCTCAGTGATTGTAAACAGCACCAGAAAACACACACTGACGAGAGAGATCATGAGTGTTTGGACTGTGGGAAGAGCTTTACTACAGCTGGTTATCTAATACGCCACCAAAGGATTCACACTGGAGAAAAACCTCACAAGTGCTCATACTGTGAGAAGAGTTTCAGTCGGTCTTCACAGCTGAAAAAACACGAGCGAATTCACACTGGAGAAAAGCCGTATTACTGTCCTCCATGTCAGAAGAGTTTCAAAGACTCATGGAGTCTGACTTATCATCTGCTTGTTCACACTGGAGAAAAGCCATTCAGCAGCTGAACGTTCATTTCCAGATTCATATAAAAGCTCAAGTGCTCATATTGTGAGAAGAGACTCAGTGGGTCTGGAGTATGTTCACACTGAGTGTCAGTGGTTATTAATATGAGAAGGCTTTGTTCTGTATGAGGAAAAGTTTACACAGATTCATTTTGTTCAGAATGTTTTTGACTTGACTTTGGAGAAACTAATAACTCTAACACATAATGCTAGTTTCAGCGAGAGCTCAGTGTTATTTTAAGTTCTGTTTTAGTTCATTATACTCAAATGTTTTCTCCTGTTCTAATTAAAGAGCTGCAGCAGATTTTAAAGCTCCAACCCTGTAGTTTGTTGACAGTAATATTGAGATCTGAAACTGATGCTCATGTAATGTGATGTTCCTGTTAGTTCAGTCCTGTGTTATAGAAATCAGACAGACACATTTTGTCATTATTTTTCATATAAGAGCAGCCGTGTCCACTGGTAAATAAACGTTTGGCTTTCAGTTTCATCAGCTTCAGCTGAACTAAGCAGTGTGGAGTTTGCATGTTTCCCCGTGTTGGCGTGGGTTTGCTCCGGTTTGCCCCACAGCCCAAACACTTGCTCTAAAGGTGAATTGAATAAACTAAATTGGTCGTAGTGTATGAGTGTGTGTGAATGAGTGTGTATGGGTGTTTCCCAGTACTGGGTTGCAGCTGGAAGGGCATCCACTGCGTAAAACAAATGCTGAATAAGTTGGCGGTTCATTCCACTGTGGAGCCCCCGATGAATAAAGGGACTAAGCTGAAGGAAGATTAATGAATGAAGATTTTCTATTTACAAATCTGTTTTAAAACGGAAAGAGACCTGATTTTGTGGGTTTGTGTTATTAAATTGGTTTACAGTACTTCAGTTTTCACTCATGAACAATTCTGTGAATGAAAAAATACAAGAAATTTGTGGACTAAAACTCTTAAGTTTATGATTGTGCAGTTTATAGCCTGTTAACACCAATAAAACGAGATTAATGTGTCAATTTACAGAAGATTTCAGACATTATAATAATAAATAAAGAGAAAACTTAATTGTTTAACAGCTCAGTTACACTTTATGTCCCTTTCATTTAATTCAGTTGTCATGTTTAACTAAACAAGCAGACACATATGAGGCTATAACTATACAGATAATAAATATAATAATATAGTAATAAATAGATGTTTGACTTTCAGTCTCATCATGTCTGACTATCTCTAGCTGAACTCAACAGTTTGTTATGCTACTTTATATTGATTATATTGTTTTATAGTATTATTTTAGTTTAATCAACACTGATTTACACAAACATGATCTCTTTTCTCCCGATCTCAGATCAATAAACATTTTAATGACCAAAATATATATTATACTTTCAATAAAACATTTATAAATGATTTTGTAATAGTTATGCACGTTTAGATGATGTTTTCAGTCAATTAATGACACAAATACTTTGCTGACTAAACTGAAGCGATATATTTACCGCGTTTCGGCTTTTGATACTAAAGCGCCCTCTGGAGGAAGTTAACGCTCAGTGTGAAACACGCATGCGCAGTACCGGAGTTAAGAAAACTGCGGCGGGAACATGCAGCGAACAGAGTGAGAGCCTTTTATAAACGAAAGAATTAATGTCTGTTAGTGTAATATTGCTTTAGATGAACTGTAACAACATTATGTCTGACATATATTCAGTTTAATCCACTACATCATAAATAGGTTCGTGTGTGAAGTCTGTATAATTTTCAAGTAATCAAATATGGTGTTTTACATTTATTTATATAAGATACATAGAGATAGTTTCAGCACTGTATTCATTTTATTACTGATAACGGCAGAAACTACTTGTATTATTTTGTTATATATTATTTTATGTAATATGATTCATTTATATTTTTATTTATTTAATTTGTTTTTGATGTGTTCACAGTGAATCACAGCCTTTCCTACATGCTGAAAATATCCCATCATAAAGGCTAGTAGAGCATCTAAACAAGCAGGAGATCATTCAGGTTGGTGAATATATATATATATATAACTTTTTTCCTTTTATATATTTGCACTGATTTAAGGTGTAAATTATTAATTGTTACTGGGTGTCATGGCACCTATCACTATCCCTTTCACACTAGTACATCCGATTCAAAGTTTGATATTTAAACTTAAAGTGTTTCACGTGAACTGATTTTCACTTTGTTAATTTTAGATCAGATGGAGGAGAACGAGCAAAGACAAGAAGAGGATGAGGAACGCAACTTCAACACTAAAGGAACTAAAACAACACATCTGCACAGCTGTCGTCAGTGTGGAAAGAGTTTCAGAAGAAAATCCAAACTGAAAAAACACAGAAAGACTCACGCTGGAGAGAAACCGTACACCTGTACTGAATGTGGAAAGAGTTTCTCACAGCTGGACAGTTATAAACAGCACCAGAAAACACATGAAGACAAGAGAGATCATGAGTGTTTGCAGTGTGGGAAGAGTTTTACTACAGCTGGCAGTCTGAAAATCCACCAGAGAATTCACACTGGAGAAAAACCTCACAAGTGCTCATATTGTGAGAAGAGTTTCAGTCATTCAGGACACTTAAAATCACACGAGCGAATTCACACTGGAGAAAAGCCGTATCACTGTACTCAGTGTGGAAAAAGTTTCAAAGACAAATCCAGTCTGACTTATCATCTGCTTGTTCACACTGGAGAGAAGCCGTTTACCTGCACTCAGTGTGGTCATGATTTTAGATCATCGTCAAATCTGAAACAACACATGAGAATTCACACAAATGAGAAGCCTTATGCATGTCTGTTCTGTGAAAAGAGATTTTCACGTCTCTGTGATTGTAAACGGCACCAGAAAACACACACTGGTGAGAGAGATCATGAGTGTTTGCAGTGTGGGAAGAGCTTTACTCAATCTGGCAGTCTGAAAATCCACCAAATGATTCACACTGGAGAAAAACCTCACAAGTGCTCATATTGTGAGAAGAGTTTCAGTCGGTCTTCACATCTGAAATCACACGAGCGAATTCACACTGGAGAGAAGCCGTATTGCTGTCCTCCATGTCAGAAGAGTTTCAAAGACTCATGCAGTCTGACTTATCATCTGCTTGTTCACACTGGAGAAAAGCCATTCAGCAGCTGAACGTTCATTTCCAGATTCATATAAAAGCTCAAGTGCTCATATTGTGAGAAGAGACTCAGTGGGTCTGGAGTATGTTCACACTGAGTGTCAGTGGTTATTAATATGAGAAGGCTTTGTTCTGTATGAGGAAAAGTTTACACAGATTCATTTTGTTCAGAATGTTTTTGACTTGACTTTGGAGAAACTAATAACTCTAACACATAATGCTAGTTTCAGCGAGAGCTCAGTGTTATTTTAAGTTCTGTTTTAGTTCATTATACTCAGATGTTTTCTCCTGTTGTTCTAATTAAAGAGCTGCACCAGATTTTAAAGCTCCAACCCTGTAGTTTGTTGACAGTAATATTGAGATCTGAAACTGATGCTCATGTAATGTGATGTTCCTGTTAGTTCAGTCCTGTGTTATAGAAATCAGACAGACACATTTTGTCATTATTTTTCATATAAGAGTAGCCGTGTCCACTGGTAAATAAACGTTTGGCTTTCAGTTTCATCAGCTTCAGCTGAACTAAGTAGTGTGGAGTTAGCATGTTTCCCCGTGTTGGCGTGGGTTTGCTCCGGTTTGCCCCACAGCCCAAACACTTGCTCTAAAGGTGAATTGAATAAACTAAATTGGTCGTAGTGTATGAGTGTGTGTGAATGAGTGTGTATGGGTGTTTCCCAGTACTGGGTTGCAGCTGGAAGGGCATCCACTGCGTAAAACAAATGCTGAATAAGTTGGCGGTTCATTCCACTGTGGAGCCCCCGATGAATAAAGGGACTAAGCTGAAGGAAGATTAATGAATGAAGGTTTTCTATTTACAAATCTGTTTAAAAAGTGAAAAATACCTGATTTTGTGGGTTTGTGTTATTAAATTGGTTTACAGTACTTCAGTTTTCACTCATGAACAATTCTGTGAATGAAAAAATACAAGAATTTGTGGACTAAAACTCTTAAGTTTATGATTGTGCAGTTTATAGCCTGTTAACACCAATAAAACGAGATTAATGTGTCAATTTACAGAAGATTTCAGACATTATAATAATAAATGAAGAGAAAACTTAATTGTTTAACAGCTCAGTTACACTTTATGTCCCTTTCATTTAATTCATTTGTCATGTTTAACTAAACAAGCAGACACATATGAGGCTATAACTATACAGATAATAAATATAATAATATAGTAATAAATAGATGTTTGACTTTCAGTTTCATCATGTCTGACTATCTCTAGCTGAACTCAACAGTTTGTTATGATGCTTTATATTGATTATATTGTTTTATAGTATTATTTTAGTTTAATCAACACTGATTTACACAAACATGATTTCTTTTTTCTCCCGATCTCAGATCAATAAACATTTTAATGACCAAAATATATATTATACTTTCAATAAAACATTTATAAATGATTTTGTAATAGTTATGCACGTTTAGATGATGTTTTCAGTCAATTAATGACACAAATACTTTGCTGACTAAACTGAAGCGATATATTTACCGCGTTTTGGCTTTTGATGCTAAAGCGCCCTCTGGAGGAAGTTAACGCTCAGTGTGAAACACGCATGCGCAGTACCGGAGTTAAGAAAACTGCGGCGGGAACATGCAGCGAACAGAGTAAGAGCCTTTTATAAACGAAAGAATTAATGTCTGTTAGTTTAATATTGCTTTAGATGAACTATAACAACATTATGTCTGACATATATTCAGTTTAATCCACTACATCATAAATAGGTTCGTGTGTGAAGTCTGTATAATTTTCAAATAATCCAACATGGTGTTTTACATTTATTTATATAAGATACATAGAGATAGTTTCAGCACAGTATTCATTTTATTATTGATAACGGCAGTAACTTGTTGTATCATTTTATTATATATTATTTTATGTAATATGATTCATTTATATTTTTATTTATTTAATTTATTTGTTTTTGATGTGTTCACAGTGAATCACAGCCTTTCCTACACAGAAATTGCAGTAAATGGTGAAAATATCCCATCATAAAGACTAGAAGAGCATCTAAACTATCAGGAGATCATTCAGGTTGGTGAATATATATGATTTTTTTTCTTTTTATATATTTGCACTGATTTCAGGTGTTGATTATCAATTGATACTGTGAGTTAAGGCGTCTACTTAAATATGACTCGTGATCCTGAGACAAAGTAACTAGGGTTGGGGGATGTCGACCAGTTTGGCATTGTATGATGTCTAATGTGAAACATCGTGATGGCTGATGGCAACGTCGTCATTCACAGTGAAATAATTCTTTATGAATAATTACTTAATTCATAACGAATGATTATTTGTTGCCTACTGTTTCAACTACCTGACCCGCATGGTCTTTGTTTTACCCATAACCAAATCACAAATAAATAAAGATACACACAAATTACCACCTGTCAGTCACTTTTTCTGCAGGACTCTGGCATGAATAGGCAGATGATCTGTGTCAGTATAATGGCCTCGACAAACTTGGTTAGTAAAAAAGGTGCAAAACCAACAGGAACCAACCAACAGTATCTGAGGTTTTCACTGCAATGACCTAAGTACAAGCGTGAAAGCCAAAGATTGAAGCAGTGTACTGATTCTGTGACACATTACCTGATAGATTCAAAAGACAGAAGAGGAGTTAAATAGAGACAAGATTAATTAAATATCACGCTTAACAACTATAGTGAAATGAGATCCAGCGGTACATCCTTGATAAACTGTCTGACGTGCACTGCTCTCTGGGGTTTTGTGCTCAAAGCACCCGTGACTGCTGGAGCTCAGAGGCATGCGTACGCTGCTGCGCATGACAGAGTGTGTGTGTGTGTGTGGTTATGTGATGTGTGTTTTCAGCGGTATAGTGTGAATGAAGAGATCTTTTCAGAAATGCTAGGTATAACACCAGTGTGCTCAAGGAATGTTTTCGTCTTAAAATGTCATTTTAAATCTAAGACATATTAGTGTAAACAGGGCCTGAGTGTGTATTTTTCGTGAGCGGGCTGCTGCTGCGATGGGGGTGGGGCAGATGATCTCAATGACGGCTTAGCATCGTCATGTCTGTCGGCCATTAGCGTTGGATGATGGCATCGTCTATAGACCCAACACTAAACGTAACATAAATAAACAACGGCCAAAGTGCTCCAACTGAATTATTTATTACCATAACATAATCAGCAAAACAATCCAAAATGGCAAGAGATGAGGAGCCCAACAACATAATAAATGACAAGCAAACAAACCTAAAGCAGGTTAAGACTCCCCCACTCCAAACAAATATCAAAAGGAAAGTAGAGCTGCACGATTCTGGCTAAAATGAGAATCGCGATTTTTTTTTGCTTAAAATAAAGACCAGGATTTTCTCACAATTCTGTAGATGTAAAATAAAGATTAATATGAGTCGGCAAATATTATTGTTTTTTTCTCAAAGATATGGTAAAACAACAATAATAATAGTATGTTTTACTAACACTCTAAACATTTATTTTCATGCACAACTGTGTGTTCGCTATGAAAGAAAAACCATATCAAATGCTTGTCGCAGTCATAGCCTAACTCTAAAATGCGATATGATTATTTAAATGATGTGCACGCTTTCGGTTTTTTTTCACTGCAAAGTGCTGTTCATACTTTGCACGCGGCTCTCAAACGATCACTCTGTGCCACAAACTAAATATTATTTGCAACTTTATTACCTGTTACTCTCACAGCCTATGCAGTAGAGCTGCACAATTAATCGTGAAAAGATGGCGATCTCGATTCGACCCCCTAGACGATCTCAATCCAGCATTTCTACGATTCTGTCAATCATATTTTCAAGTTCAGGAGAGAAGCAATGGTGGCCGCACAAGTCTTCACATTGTTTTACGTACAATGTTCAGCAACGTGGACACCTCCAAATGGTGTTGAAAGAGTCACATGCTGTATTTATAAGATATAATTCACCTCAAAAATGTCATTTCTATCCTCATGTAACGTATTTGCGACTGCAGAATCACACGTGACGTGAGCATCAGCTGTTACTACAGGGACGGAGGGCGGGCACGCCTCTGAATAAAGTTTACTTTAGTGAAAGGAGGTGGAATCGAGATCGCAGTCTTTTCTCGATTAATTGTGCAGCTCTAAAGGAAAGTATAAAGGGGGCGTCACGGTGGTGTAGAAGGTAGCACAATCGCCTCACATCAAGAAGGTCGCTGGTTCGAGTCCCGGCTGGGTCAGTTATCATTTCTGGAGTTTGCATGTTCTCCCTGTGTTGATGTGGGTTTTCTTTGGGTGCTCCGGCTTGATCGAAAGACATGCGCTATAGGGGAATTGGGTAAGCTAAATTGTCTGTAGTGTATGTGTGAGTGAGAGTGTGTGGGTGTTTCCCAGTGATGGGTTCAGTGCAGCTGGAAGGGCATCCGCTGTTTTAAACATATGCTGGATAAGTAGGCGGTTCATTCCGCTGTGGCGACCCCAGATTAATAAAGGGACTAAGCCGAACAGAAAATTAATGAAGTACAAAGGAGAACACAACAATACAGCTGTCGATAACTGTGGTGTCGTGGAGGAATGAGCGAGAGCCGCTTCTGTCTGTTTTAAAAGCCTGACGTCAACAAATCAACCAATAGAAAACTGAAGAGGGAAAAAGACAAACAAGATCAATTGAAAATAATAATTTCAGGCAGGAGTGAACGCCACAGTAACTCTGGGTTTTTAATCAGTATTTTGTAAAACGAACTTGAGTGTCTAGAAAGCCACGATTAAATAAAATCAATGAATAATATTATTGGGTGAACTATCACTTTAACTCTAGCACATCAGATTCAAAGTTTATCACACTTAAAATGTTTCACTTGAACTGATTTTTACTTTGTTTATTTTAGATCAGATGGAGGAGAATGAGCAAAGACAAGAAGAGGATGAGGAACGCAACTTCAACACTAAAGGAACTAAAACAACACATCTGCACAGCTGTCGCCAGTGTGGAAAGAGTTTCAGAAGAAAATCCAAACTGAAAAAACACAGAAAGACTCACGCTGGAGAGAAACCGTACACCTGTACTGAATGTGGAAAGAGTTTCTCACAGCTGGACAGTTATAAACAGCACCAGAAAACACATGAAGACAAGAGAGATCATGAGTGTTTGCAGTGTGGGAAGAGTTTTACTACAGCTGGTCATCTGAAAATCCACCAAAGAATCCATACAGGAGAAAAACCTTACAAGTGCTCATATTGTGAGAAGAGTTTCAGTCAGTCTTCAGATCTGAAAAAACACGAGCGAATTCACACTGGAGAAAAGCCGTATCACTGTACTCAGTGTGGAAAGAGTTACAAAGACAAATCCAGTCTGACTTATCATCTGCTTGTTCACACTGGAGAAAAGCCGTTTACCTGCACTCAGTGTGGTCATGATTTTAGATCATCAACAATTCTGAAACAACACATGAGAATTCACACAAATGAGAAGCCTTATGCATGTCTGTTCTGTGAAAAGAGATTTTCACGTCTGGATTCTTGTAAGCAGCACCAGAAAACACACACTGACGAGAGAGATCATGAGTGTTTGCAGTGTGGGAAGAGTTTTACTACAGCTGGTTATCTGAAAATCCACCAAATGATTCACACTGGAGAAAAACCTCACACATGCTCATATTGTGAGAAGAGTTTCAGACAGTCTGGAGACTTGAAAAGACACGAGCGAATTCACACTGGAGAAAAGCCGTATCACTGCACTCAGTGTGAAAAGAGTTACAAAGACAAATCCGGTCTGACTTATCATCTACTTGTTCACACTGGAGAAAAGCCGTTTACCTGCACTCAGTGTGGTCATGATTTTAGATCATCAACAATTCTGAAACATCACATGAGAATTCACACAAATGAGAAGCCTTATGCATGTCTGTTCTGTGAAAAGAGATTTTCACGTCTCTGTGATTGTAAACAGCACCAGAAAACACACACTGGCGAGAGAGATCATGTGTGTTTGCAGTGTGGGAAGAGCTTTAATAGAGCTGGACATCTGAAACGCCACCAAAGGATTCACACTGGAGAAAAACCTCACAAGTGCTCATATTGTGAGAAGAGTTTCATTCAGTCTTCACATCTGAAATCACACGAGCAAATTCACACTGGAGAGAAGCCGTATTGCTGTCCTCCATGTCAGAAGAGTTTCAAAGACTCATGCAGTCTGACTTATCATCTGCTTGTTCACACTGGAGAAAAGCCATTCAGCAGCTGAACGTTCATTTCCAGATTCATATAAAAGCTCAAGTGCTCATATTGTGAGAAGAGACTCAGTGGGTCTGGAGTATGTTCACACTGAGTGTCAGTGGTTATTAATATGAGAAGGCTTTGTTCTGTATGAGGAAAAGTTTACACAGATTCATTTTGTTCAGAATGTTTTTGACTTGACTTTGGCGAAACTAATAACTCTAACACATAATGCTAGTTTCAGCGAGAGCTCAGTGTTATTTTAAGTTCTGTTTTAGTTCATTATACTCAAATGTTTTCTCCTGTTGTTCTAATTAAAGAGCTGCAGCAGATTTTAAAGCTCCAACCCTGTAGTTTGTTGACAGTAATATTGAGATCTGAAACTGATGCTCATGTAATGTGATGTTCCTGTTAGTTCAGTCCTGTGTTATAGAAATCAGACAGACACATTTTGTCATTATTTTCATATAAGAGCAGACGTGTTCACTGGTAAATAAACATTTGGCTTTTAGTTTCATCAGCTTCAGCATTAACATTAGTGTGAGGGTTTGGTTGAAGGTAGAGGTTAATAAAATAAAATTTAATGTGTAATTTAATAAATAATATAAATAAATCTCGTTATGATTACTGTTTTTACATAAGGGTTTGGTTGAGGGTAGAGGTTAATAAAATTAAATTTTATGTGTAATTTAACAAATAAAAACAATTATTCTCATTACAATAGCTGTTTTTACAGTTCTGTGAAGGTTTGGGGTAGGGGCTTATTAAATAACATAAATAATTATTGTTATAATTACTGTTTTTACATCACTGTGAGAGTTGGGGTGGGGTTAGACGTGTTATGGAAATTCATTTTAGATAAACATGTGTAGTGGAAACTTACAGCAGAAACAGCGGAGCACCTGATGCACGTACAGAATGGGCCTTATTAGGATTTGACCTTGCAAGCAGTACAAACTAGATAGAACAGTGAACATACTTTGCTTCAGTGTCTCATTCTGTAGAAACTGTCGTCAGAATGGGCAGTATTAGGGTTTGACCTTGTAAGCAGTAAAAACCAGATAAAAGGGTGAACACACTTGACTTCAGTGTCTCACTCTGCAGAAACTGTTGTTGCTGTATGACTGTGACCTTCTTTGCAAAGAATAAAACTTTAAAAAGACATTCCGGGTAAGACTTTGTTTCTTGACCACAGAGAGCGCCTCTTTAAAGAAAATTGCCACTACAATTTGGTGTCAGAATAGTGGGATGTCTTGGAGGAACTTTTCCGGACCCTGCGGACGGTGACTGATCATCCTGGGACTTCGTGTCACAGCCCTGCCCCGCTCGATTGAGGGTTGAGGGGCCGACCGCAGGGCTCGGAGGGGAACCCCACTGACATCTGGGAAAAAGAACTCAAGTGGCATCTGAACTCTCTGGTAAGAGACAAATTCTTTGTTTGTTACTAAAAGAAAATTGAACAGTTTTGGGTATTTGATTAGGCAATTAAAAGGGTTTTTCACTGTAATTTGGGCCATCACCATGCTGGTAGATCTGTCTCTGTGGGATAGCAGCGTGATTAATGCAAGTGAGATCTGACATCAGGTGGGGATCAAGACCTTTTTACAAGTGAGATCTGGCGTTTAGCTGAGATCAAGACCTTACACAAGTGAGATCTGGCGCCTGACTAAGATCAAGACCTTTTTAACACGTTTGGCTAGCTAACTGCGATTTACTCCCGGGAGGGGGTTGAAATCAGGGGGCTATGCGATTTACTTCCAAAAAGAGGTTGAAATCTAGGGCTGTGCGATTTACTTCCGGAAGGAGGTTGAAATCAGGGGCCAAGCGATTTACTTCTAAAAGGGGGTTGAAATTGGGGGCCACAAAATTAGAGCTGGAAAGCTTAACTTTTCGATTTTAGGTGAAAAATCGAAATCTGTTGGAGACGTCCGACAGATTAATAGGTACCGAAAAAGTCCAGGGGAAAGATTGTTGCCAGCATGGGGAAGTCTCAAAGCAAAATAAAAAGACATGATACACCGGTGTTTTGGAATATGGGAAATTTATACGGAATAAGAAAAAAAAAGAAAAAAGCATGCAAGAGATAGGAAAACAATAAGGTATCACAAGTTTCTAAGGGAAAAGGAATGTTGAGTGTTACTAGGTTAAACATAATGAAAAAGCAGATGAGAAGGCAGAAGGTAAAGCAGGTTGTCTTTGGGAAAGGCATGTGCGTATCGTGTGGAGACACTGTTGATTGTTGGCTCAGGGAGGCAGATAAGAGGCAAAGAGGAAAATGCTGCAGAGGCAGCTGGCATGTAGGGAAAAGAATGAAGGAGATAAAGTGAAAGAAAAATGTGAATGTGTGAATGAAAGATTAATTAGCACCACTAATCCTTTCTATACATCTGTTTCCATACATGTACCGCCGTACCATCACTATCCCGTGGCTGAGCTGCGAGCCCTGAGAACTGACCCAAACCTCAACTGCTACTGTCCCAGAAGACCTCCGACCGCACCAACGAAATTCCCACCTCAAGCGAGTGGATGACATCTGTTTGAACTGGAGAAATGGACATTTAACGAACATTCTGCTGTGTGCTCAACATGCTGAAGACAAGCTGACAGTGAAGCAAGAGCAAGACAAGAAGAAAGCAGAAAGGGAGCTGTGCATGGCTCTGGTACAAGTGGCCAACCAAAGATCCAACCAACACCTGACAACCAAGTTCAAAGGTGACAAAGGTGTCAAGGGGGAGAAAGATACTAGATGGAGAAACTGGTATGTGACGTATGGCGATGAAACCTGCAGAGCCTGTCGTGCACGTGATGTGAACCGGTACCAAATGTCTGCGCTTGCAACCGAGATGGACTTTTGGTTAAGGATTGACCCGAAAGGCGCTAACCAACAACGAGGAGCTGATGTGCGGAGAGGGAAGAGCAGAATGGAGAGGGTCTGGGCAAACAGCCAACAATAACAGTAAAGGGAAGTGAACATTTTTTACTAACATGTTTAAATGCAGACACATTTTTATACACACATATTCACATACACTGACAAACTGGCTCTCTGCAATGAAGGAAAAGCTTGCATTTCCCACTGTACATTTGGCATTGTTTTTAATAGAAGCATTTTTTTAAAATATGCAAAATATTCTATGTTGATTGAGAATACATTGGTTGAGTTTCTAGCTGATAGTGGAGCTAGCATATCTTGCATACGACCATGTGACCTGCAGTGTGAAATACCTTTAACAAACAAATTTCACAAGTCTCTGTCTGGATCTGGTCATACAGTGGTTGAGCGATTTACAGCTCCGCTGACCTGTGAGACAGAGGGGGGTAAAATTTTCAGACATGCATTTGTTTGTTCACCAAAATGCCCTGTTCCTATCCTCGGAAGGGACATTTTGTGTAAACTAAACTTGATTTTAACAGCAGATTCCACTGGTGTGAGAGTGATTGAAGGAGAGGAATTTTGTTGTTTACAAATTGAATCACAAGAACCGAAGTGGGCTTATGAATGGCTGGTTGAAAACAATGAGTGGGCTAATTCAATTTGCAAATTGGCTGAAGAACGTGTAAAACCTTTTGACAGTGATATAATGTCTCCTGGTGAACTGCATTGTACGTCACATGTCGTAACTGATAGGGATGCAGAGTTTGAAAAGGCTTGGTTTGAGGCAAATGTGAATGAAACTTTGATTTTAGAGAAAATGTACTGGAAGGATAGTCTGTGTGCAGTTTCAGTGTCTCTGTCAGAAAAGCAGCGTTCATTCTATCTCATGTCAGCACAGGCTGTGCCTCACATATCAGTTTGCAAGGGTAAACATCAGTCTTGGGCTGATTTAGGCCCGTTTGTGAAGCAGTGTCTTGAAGTCAAAGATTGGATCTGCAGAGTGGGAGGGGTAGAATGGAGCGCGTTCTCGCAGGCCTTTAGGGTGGACAGTGAAACTGAAACAGCTGTTTCAAGAACTGTGACTGCGATTGACAAACTTTGCGTAAAGAATTCTTGCATGGTTGACTTTAACGCTGCAGACATACACCCAGCTTTAGCAGAAATACCAAGTGAATTGTGGGCTAAAAGCAAATATGATGTTGGTTTAATCAAAGGTTGTGATCCAGTGACAATCATTGCAAAATCTGATTACAGACCATGCCAACAACAATATCCTTTGAAAAGGGAAGCCATTGAGGGCATTACCCCAGTATTTGAGTCTTTACTGGAATAGGGCGTTATTGTACCATGCAACAATTCTGAGGTTCGCACCCCTATTTTTCCTGTTAAAAAGATAAGGGATAATGGGATGCCTACTGAATGGCGTTTCGTACAGGATTTATAAGCAGTAAATGCAGCTGTCAAACAAAGGGCTCCATTAGTTCCAAATCCGTACACGATTTTGTCACACATTCCTGAAAAATCACAATTCTATTCAGTGGTTGATTTGGCTCATGCATTTTTCAGTCTGCCAGTGGACAAAGACAGCCAGTTTTGGTTTGCATTTAATTTGTGCCAGTGGACAAAGACAGCCAGTTTTGATTTGCATTTAATTTCAATGGCAAAGGCAACACCTTTACACGTCTGTGTCAGGTGTATGTTTCACTTTATACAACGAAGCGTTGTTAAGAAGTTTGGAACCTCTGACCCTGACAGCTGGAACTGCTTTGTTACAGTATGTTGATGACCTGTTGATATGTGCTGAGAATGAAGAGACGTGTGTGAAAGACACTGTGACTGTTCTTAGGCATTTGGCTAAGGAGGGCCACAAGGTCAGTTTGACAAAATTGCAGTTTGTTAAACAAAAGGTAACATTTTTGGGGCACGTCATTACACCACACAGCAAATCTCTGTCTGAAAAAAGGGTGAGTGGTATAAAAAATGTACCAAAACCACTAACGAAAAAAAAACAAATGTTGTCTTTTTTAGGTATGTGCTCATATTGTCGCACATTTATTCCAAATTATGCAATTTTGGAACAACCCTGAGAGCCCTAACATTAGGGAAGGGGATGAAATCCACTGATAAACTAGAGGGGTCGACAGAGGCAGAGCAGGCATTTGTAAACATGAAATTACAAATGGCTGAAGCCCCTGCATTAGGTTTACCTTACCAACAAAACCATTTGTTCAGATGGTAGATGAGAGAAATGGGTTTATGACGTCATTGCTCCTACAGGACCATGGAGGTAGACTGTTAAACAATGTACTGGTTTGAATGCAGCTACTATTCTTCCTACTGAGGAAGATGGGGAAGAGCATTGTTGTTTAACAGCACTTGAACAGGTGTGTACACCACCACCTGACCTTTCTGACGAACCACTTGAAAATTGTGACAATGTCCTCTTTGTGGATGGGTCAGCATTTTAAGATCCACAAACAGGCCAGAATAAAGTTGGTTACGCTGTAACAACTGAATTTGATGTGGTGACCTCTGGGAAATTGCCAGGGCACTATTCTGCACAGGCCGCAGAGCTTGTGGCGTTGAAAGAGGCATGTAAATTGATGGCAGAAAAAGAGGCTACCATTTACACTGACTCAAGATATGCATTTGGGGTAGCTCATGATTTTTGGGGTAACAGAAAATTACTAAAATCTGATGGTCGACCAATACTCAATGCTCCTTTAGTGGCAGCGCTGCTGGATGCAATTTTACTACCTGACAAACTGGTCATTTGTAAATGCGCAGCGCACTCTAATAATAAAGATTCTGTTTCTGTAGGTAACTCCAGGGCAGATGGAGCAGCAAAAGTCGCGGCGTCCCAAGACAAGGACAACTCTGAATGTTCTTTGCTATCTGTTGGTGATAACAATGACGTGTGTTCTTCTTTGCAGGACATGCAGACCTTTGCGACGGGGCTGGAGAAAAACAAATGGAGACAGTCTGGCTGTGTGATAAAAGATAATGTGTGGAAGAGTGCTGAGGGCAGGGCGTGTTTACCAAAACATTTTTTCCAACATTATGCAAAATTACTTCACGGTAAAGATCATGTGTCAAAAACAGCAATGGTTGCGCAAATGAACGAACTGTGGTTCACAAAGGGGTTCACTGCATTTGCGGACAGTTTCTGTAGACGATGTGTAATTTGCAACACACATAATGTGGCCAGAGCGATAAAAGTTCCACTATCATCTCATCCACCTCCAACAGGGCCTTTTGAATATTTGATGATGGATTTCATTGAATTGTCCCCATGCAATGGGAAAAGGTACTGTTTGGTGATGGTTGACATGTGGTCAAAATGGGTTGAAGTTTTTCCAACCTCAAAACAAGATTCGGCTGCGGTAGCAAAAGCGTTACTGACTGAAATCGTGCCGAGATGGGGAATACCATGGAAAATAAGTTCAGATAATGGTACTCATTTTGTTAATGAAGCAATCAAACAAGTGGGCCAATATTTGGAAATTGATTTGAGAACACATTGCAGTTACCATCCAGCTTCAGGAGGAGCTGTTGAAAGAGAAAATGGCATCCTAAAAAACAAATTGGCAAAATGTTGTGAAGACACAGGGCTTACATGGGTTCAAGCTTTACCCATTGTCCTGATGTACATGAGAATGAGAAAAAGATCAAAAATGAATTTGAGCCCGTTTGAAATTCTCTTTGGTAAACCACCGCGTGTAGGTGTGAATGGGGGAAAACAGCAGCTGCCCTCAACAGATGTGTGTGAGAATGACATGTTGAATTACTGTAAAGAATTGTCTCATGTGTTGTCCGATGTTTGTGTGCAGGTAAAGGCCGCACAGGGGAAGGCTGCTGAGAGACCACTGCACAGTCTGAGGCCTGGCGATTTCGTGGTGATCAGGGACCTGAGGAGAAAGAGCTGGAGAGCAAAGCGCTGGTTGGGTCCATTTCAAGTGCTACTGACCACTGAGACAGCGGTGAAGGTTGCAGAGCGGGTGACGTGGGTGCACGCTGGGCACTGCAGGAAAGTTCCATCACCTGAGAAGGATTCCATGAGGGAGTAGGAGAGAAAGAGGGACTCTGAAGCTGTCTGAAGAAAAAAGCAGGCTGCTATCTGAGTGAAGCAAGGTCACAGCTGGGGAGAAACAACAAGGTCAAGAGGTGTGTGTGGGACAGTAACTTCTGAATACAACACCAAGCAGCAGACGGAGGAGAAAGCGACCAAAAGAGAGGTGATTGACCATCGCATTAAAGATCTGAAGATGAACGAAAAGATTCGCTGGCATCCATTCCGAGTGCCAGGTATGTGTGGGCTGAAAAAAAAACACGTTGTGGCTGACGTTACTATCATTGACATTATGTTACGTCATCTTCCTTGCTCTGGAACTGGCAATGGAGTGTGTGGATTGAGACAAATCACACTGATGTTGCTATTATTATCACTGAGTGTTCTGTTGTTTTCATTAACCTGATTCCAGCAAACCATTTCTGACATTGTAGCCCACATGAGAATGGCTGTAAAAGAGCCTAAGAATTTAAACAACTGATGGCTAGATTGGCTGTTGTTTAAGAGGGGAAACTGGATCTACTGGGCCTTTACTTCGGTGTTACCTGTATTGGGGGTGGGTCTAGTGATATTATGTTGTCTGCCATGTATATTCAGATTTGTATCATGGTCAGTGGGCAGACAGATTACATCTACAACATCCCATCTGATGGTAAAGATGGCGGTTAAAAAAGAGGGTATGAATGTTGACATGGGTCATGATTTTGATTATGACTTTGACGATAACAGTAGCTACATGGATATGGATAAAGAAAAACCGTAAACAAATTGAGAACAAAATTTTAGGTAACAGCTGTTACTTAATTGGGAAAATATTAACGGACCTGACTTTTTGAAATTTGAGATAACTATCTGCTTGCTTATATGTATTTTGGGTCTATCCAAACAAAAACAGCAAACTGCATGAGTTGGTATGTTCTGTAACAAGTCTTAAAAGAGTGATCATTTGCATGAAAATCGAGAGAAGAGTGTAAATGTGATGTATGTTTAAGAGTACAGAAACAACAATGTGTTCCTATGTTTGTGAGTGTTATTGATGAATTGATCATGTAGAGTGTTAGTAATTTTTTAACTGATTGAAGAAATGCTTTCAGAATTTTGTTGTGTGAACAAATCAATAATGTGAAAATAACAGGCAATTTCTGTGATTTGAACCTCTGAGGGGTGACCGAGGGTCTGATTTCGGTCAGGAGCGCAATAACAGTGATTATTCGTTTAGCCCGGCTCCCAGGGAAGAGGGATGTTTTGAAAGGTAACTCTTAATGGGGAAATTATATTAAGAAGAGTGTTTAAACATCTCTAGTGTATTTGATGTGAGCAGAAACCTGTTAAATGATTAACCAGTGTGATTTTAGAAATCAATTGAAAAATGAATTTAATAATGAGTTATCAATGAATGATAAAAAGAGAGGAATTGTTATGGAAATTCATTTTAGATAAACATGTGTAGTGGAAACTTACAGCAGAAACAGCGGAGCACCTGATGCACGTACAGAATGGGCCTTATTAGGATTTGACCTTGCAAGCAGTACAAACTAGATAGAACAGTGAACATACTTTGCTTCAGTGTCTCATTCTGTAGAAACTGTCGTCAGAATGGGCAGTATTAGGGTTTGACCTTGTAAGCAGTAAAAACCAGATAAAAGGGTGAACACACTTGACTTCAGTGTCTCACTCTGCAGAAACTGTTGTTGCTGTATGACTGTGACCTTCTTTGCAAAGAATAAAACTTTAAAAAGACATTCCGGGTAAGACTTTGTTTCTTGACCACAGAGAGCGCCTCTTTAAAGAAAATTGCCACTACAATTGCTAATAAAATAAAATTTTATGTGTAATTTAATAAATAATATAAATAATTCCCGTTTTAATTATCATTATTTTACAGTTCTGTAAGGGTTTGGTTGAGGGTTGACATCACTGAAATAAATTTAATGTGTAATTTAATAAATAATATAAATAATTCCCGTTATAATTATTATTATTTTACAGTTCTGTAAGGGTTTGCTTGATGGTTGACATTAATGAAATAACATTTAACGTGTAATTTAAAGTTTTCTATTAATAGTTCCTGTTATAATTACTGTATTTGCATTACTTTGTAGGTTTGGTTAAGGGTAGACTGTGATAAAATAAAATTAATGTGTAATTTAATAAATAATATAAATAATTCTGGTTATAGTAGCTGTTTTTACATTACGGTTAGGGTTTAGGGTGGTGTTAGACGTTAATAAAATAAAATTTAATGTGTAATTTAATAAATAATATAAATAATTCTGGTTATAGTAGCTGTTTTTACATTACTGTTAGGGTTTGGGGCTTCGCCGTTAAAATGCAATTTAATGTGTAATTTAATAAATAATATAAATAATTCTCGTTTATGTTCGGCCACAGCTGTATCCCTTCTAGCAAAATCTCTATATAGCGCCCTCTGGAGAGAAGTTTCTGCTCAGTGCGAAACGCGCATGCGCGGTGCGGAGGTTTACTACAGCTGTTGACACGTTCGCGGCAGGAACATGGCAGCGTACAGAGTAAGAGCTTTTTGTAAATAAACGATACTCATGTCTTTTGGTGTAGTATTTTCCGATTAAATGAAATATGAAGAAGAAACAGATATCTTAAAGCAATTACGACATATATTTAGCTTTTTGTCTTCTGCATCGGAGATGATTTTGTGTGTCTCTCATGTGTAAAAGCTTTATGTTTATAGTAGGATAATTTAGTTTACAGGTACTGGGTTTACATGTTTGTTGTATTTAGCTAAAAAATAATGTATAATAATAAAATATATTATACAAGCAGACAAAAATAGCACTGACATTATGAAAATATCATATTAGTGCTGTATAAATAATCAAATAAGGTGTTTCTCATTTTATTACCGTGCAAATTAACTAAAGATGCCTTCACAGCACAGTATTATTATTATTGCTGTTGTTGATGTTGTTATTGTTGTCATTCTAGAGGACATAGCATTTTCTGTCTCTAGAACATTTAATTTGTCAAGAGAAATGCTTTTAATATTCTATGCCTTAATTATTATGTTATAATATTGCATGTTGTATTTATTACATTATATATTTTATCTGTAATTACACCCTTAAGACATTTAAAATACCACAGTTGAAAGATATCAGACTATAATAAGTCAATATTAAAGATATTCTTTAATTAGTTTTTATTTACACTTTTGTTTAGTTGCATTAAACCTGAAGGTTGCATTTGTCACACAGGCTCCTTCCTCTTCACAGTGAGATCTCTGGGCTGATACACGCTTGAAAACTCCAAGTTTTACTATGGAAAAGATGGACTTTATTATAGTGGAGATCGATGATCTGAGTCATCCAGAACCGTCCAGAATTAATCATCAAGATAATAAGGAACAAACAGGTTGGTGTACATTCTTGATTCTACTTTACTGAAAATGCACAGAATATCCATCCGAACAACATGTATGAATGTTCTAAGTACTCAAATGTAATCAATTCAAAGAAACAATATTTAAAACTGAAATACATCATATAAAATTAGTTATTAAATCCAAACAAATAGGTGCCTACAACATATATTCAGATATTGCAGAAAAGCACATTATGATGTTTTAAAGAATAGTGCTGGAGATTTGGCTGCCCTTTAATGTTTTCATTCATTCATTCATTCATTTTCTTGTCAGCTTAGTCCCTTTTATTAATCCGGGGTCACCACAGCGGAATGAACCGCCAACTTATCCAGCACGTCTTTACGCAGTAGATGCCCTTCCAGCCGCAACCCATCTCTGGGAAACATCCACATATATAGTTAACTATCTATCTATCTATCTATCTATCTATCTATCTATCTATCTATCTATCTATCTATCTATCTATCTATCTATCTATATATATATATATATATATATATATATAAATATATAAATATATATATATAGTTAAAAATATATATTTATTATTTCCCAAGTGTATAACTACTGTAAGAAAATATCAGCGTTCGGTACATATTTTCTGTATTATCTTTGCTAGAACTGATCCGATCTCACTGTTTATATGAAACAAGCCTGCTCCCAAATAGTTTTGAGCTACCAAAACTGTTGCTATGACAACAAGTCTCAGATGAGTTTTGAAAAACGAAACGATCCTGGATCGTGTCAAATCATCAATTTCCAAATCCAGCTAATTGAGTAACCCATATACGAAGAACGGACCCCGGGGCTGAAAACGAGTCCCACTCCGGCCCTGCATTACCCACATATTTAGGTAAAGTCAACTTGTCACTTTTAAGGTAAACGGGTTTATTCACATTTTTTTAAAATAAAGTAAATAATACTTTATGCACAGATGAACTTTTCACCACAAAACTAGCAATGTGAGCTAACAAAATTAAATGGTTAGTTTTGATTTCATTTGTGCTTTATATGATTGAACAGAGTATTGCCCCCCCCCACCCCCCACCCCCACCCCCCGTGGGTGCAGAAATGTTTCGAATGTCCTCAAGAATATATACAATTGAAGTCAGAATTATTAGCCCCCCTGTTTATTTTTTCCCCAACTTCTGTTTAATAGAGAGATTTTTTTCAGCACATTTCTAATCAGTATAGTTTTAATAACTCATCTCTAGGCCCACACGGAATCTGCGCGCGCAGAATTCCGCAGATTTCTGCAGATTTTTAGCACATCATTAATTCTGTTTATTTACTTGAGTAAATGTGTAAATCTGAATTTATTCAGTTTTTATTCAGTAATATATTACTTTTCATTTCATATATTATGGTTTTAGTTATGATACTCTGCTGGATACTCCCAAAATAATTCCGCAGAAATTTGCAGATTTTTACCAAAATTCTCCGCAGAAATAGCAAAAAAACGTCTGCAGATTCCGTCTGGCCCTGCTCATCTCTAATAACTGTTTTTTTTTATCTTTGCCATGATGACAGTAAATAATATTTGACTAAATATTTTTCAAGACACTTCAATACAGCTTAAAGAGACATTTAAAGGCTTAACTAGGTTATTTAGGGTAACTAGGCAGGTACGGGTAATTAGGCAAATTATTGTATATCGATGGTTTGTTTTATAGACTATTGAAAAAGATTTTAGCTTAAAGGGGCTAATAATTTTGTCCTTAAAATAGTGTTTGAAATGTTAAAAACTGCTTTTATTTTAGCTGAAATAAAACAAATAACACTTCATAAGAAGAAAAAAATATTATCGGACATACTGTGAAAATTTCCCTGCTCTGTTAAACATTTTTTCGGAAATATTTAGAAAATAAAAAGAAATTCAAAGGGGCTAATAATTCTGACTTCAACTGTATATATATTTTGGTAAACAATCTTGTTAAAATTAGGCACATTCAAAGGGCTAATTTCTAAATTTTATGCTTTATTAATTTACTCTGATTACTCAGTTAATGATTCCTTGAAACCACTATGGGAACGGGACATAGGAGTTTTGGTTAATCCCGAAGATTGAGTAAGATCTGTGATGGTACCTTACCAAAATGTACAGTTGAAGTCAGAATTATTAACCCCCTGTTTATTTTTTTCTCCCAATTTGTGTTCAATAGAGAGGAGATTTCTTAAACACATTTCTAATCATAACAGTTTTAATAACTCATCTCTAATAACTGATTTCTTTTATCTTTGCCATGATGACAGTAAACAATATTTGACTAGATGTTTTTCAAGACACTTTTGTACAGCCCTAAGTGACATTTAAAGGCTTAACTAGGTTAATTAGGTTAACTAGGCAGGTTAGGGTAATTAGGCAAGTTATTGTATAATGATGGTTTGTTCTGTAGACTATTGAGAAAAATATATTGCTTAAAGGGGCTAATAATTTTGACCTTAAAATGGTTTTTAAATAACTAAAAACTGCTTTTATTCTAGCCGAAATAAAATAAAAAAAAACTTACTCCAGAGGAAAAAATATTATCAGACATACTGTGAAAATTTCCCTGCTCTGTTAAACATCATTTGGGAAATATTTTAAAAAGAAAACAAATTTCAAAGAAGGCTAATAATTTTCACTGATTATTAATTATTATTAATTATCATTATTAATTCCGACATTTTTAAATGTTGATTTAATTTGCAGCGCTTGGGGATGTTTTTTTTTTTTCTTTGTGCATATATATATATATATATATATATATATATATATATATATATATGTATGTATATATGTATATAAAGAAATTAGGCACATTGAACTTTAAAAGCTTATAACTAAAGCTACAAAAGCTGATCTCTGTAGTATCCTGCTATTAAATCAGACTTCACTTGAACTAATCCTAACTTGATGTTCATTTTAGACTGGATGGAGTTGAATGAGCAAAGACAAGATCTGAATGAAGAGGATGAGAAATGTGACTTCAACACTGAAGGAATAAAAGCAGAACATCTGCACAGCTGTCCTCAGTGTGGAAAGAGTTTCACGAGCAAAGAAAACCTGAACATGCACATGAACATTCACAGTGGAGAGAATCTGTACATCTGCACTGAATGTGGAAAGAGCTTCTCACAGCTGGACAGTTACAATCTGCATCAGAAAACACACAATGAAGCGAGGGATCATGTGTGTTTGGAGTGTGGGAAGAGCTTTTCTACAGCCGACAATCTGAAGCGGCACAGAATCATCCATGCTGGAGAAAAACCTCACAAGTGCTCATATTGCGAGAAGAGTTTCAACCAGTCGGTGCATTTGAGAAGACACGAGCGAATTCACACTGGAGAGAAGCCGTATCTCTGCACTCACTGTGGGGAGAGTTTCAGATATAGGACTGACCTTAATAAACATCTGCGCGTTCACACTGGAGAAACTCCGTTTACCTGTGAGCAGTGTGGTAATAATTTTAGATCATCTGCAAATCTAAAACTACACATGACGATTCACACAAATGAGAAGCCTTATGCATGTCCGTTGTGCCAAAGGAGATTTTCACGGTTGAACGCTTGTCAGCGGCACCAGAAAATACATGTTGAGGAGAAAAATCATGTGTGTTTGGAGTGTGGCAAGAGCTTTATTAGAGCCGAACAACTGAAAAACCACCGAAGGATCCACACTGGAGAAAAACCCTACAAGTGCTCCTATTGTGAGAAGAGTTTCAGCTGGTCTTCAAATCTGAAATTGCACGAGCGAGTTCACACTGGGGAGAAGCCGTATTACTGTCCTGCATGTCAGAAGAGTTTCAGATCATCACAGAATCTTCTCAATCACACAAGGAAATGTCACACCATCACAGTGAGCATTGTTTAGTTTAACTGTTGAAGTATGTTGTTTGAGACGAGCTAAAGTTGGTTTCAGTTTGCTGAAATGCTCTGAAAACTAGAAGCACTTGTCCCTGATAAGTTTCTTAAGGAGGTGGCTTAGTGATTAGCACTGTCACCTCACAGTAAGAAGGTCGCTGGTTCAAGTTCCAACTGGGTCAGTTGGCATTTCTGTGTGGAGTTTGCATGTTCTTCATGTGTTGGTGTGGGTTTCCTCTAGGTGCTCCGGTTTACCCCACAGTCCAAACACATGCGCTATAAGGGAATTGCAGTGGTGGAAAGAGTACTGAAAAGTCATACTCAAGTAAAAGTACCAATACTTGCCTAAAAATGTAGTGTATCTGTTGTAAATATTACTCAAAGTATGAGAAAAAAGTAGACCTTTTAAAAATACTCAAAAGTAGTGAGTATTGCACTGGGAAAAGATGTTGCGTTTACATTAGGGGTGTCAAAATTAATTGTTTCTTCGGTGCACCGTGATGCAGATGCGGACAATTCGGTATCGGTTCAGTAATAATCATAACCGGTTTTTATGTACTGACGTCATTTACCTCATGCGGGAGGCGAGCGCGGGTATTTACAAAACTCCAGGCGCCAACTACTTAAAAACGCATTAACTGTGCACAATTTCACTGCGTGTGTGTTTGCTGGACAGTCTTTCACTGGCACGTACAGGGAATTGAGGTTGAGGGAGTGAAAGTGACCTCCATTTCTCTCTCTTTCTCTGTCTCTCACTGTGGCCCGTTTCACCTTTTCCTCTCGGCTGTTACAGCGATACTTCTGGATACCATTGTCGCAAAACCCGACCAGATATCATGCAGCGCGGGAATATATTTCCGAATAAAGCGCAGGAGCGGTCTGTAATTCTGGTGTAATTTGAACAGGAGTGGGCGGTTCGACAATATCGCTCCCGAGCGAGCAAGCGCGCATGTGTGCGTGCGTGTGTTTATTTGTTTGGTGCTGTCTATGTTTGTGTATGTGTGCAAATGAGAGACAGCGTGATGCTGTGTGTCTATGTGTGTGTGTGTTTATACAAACAGCTTGTTATAGCCCCTCCCCAAAATATAACACTTTGTTTGGAAAGCATCGTCAATGCACCGTCATGCAACGAGATATCAAATTGAACCGAATCGATGGCATGATAATCGTAACCGAACCGTAAGACCATTGTAGGTTTGTACCTCTAGTTTACATGCAGTTTGTGCAGGGATGTGTAAACGTACCAATCTGTAGTGCATCTAGTGATCTTCCTATATTCGTTCCTTCCTTGCATTGACTACGTTTACATGGACATCAGTAATCAAATTATTTGCTTTAATCTAATTAAGAGAATAACAAGACTAAGGTGTTTACATGAGTTGCTTTTTGAGTGTTACGTTCATGATTCCACTTTACCTGTTATAGCACATAATTCGATTAACGTCATTGCGTCTCCGCCCTGTCCACATTTCCTCCGCAGTTTCATGGAATTTCGGGTGTTTCATTTTTAATTTGTGGACTTTAACTGCAGTTTGGCACTTTCACTTTTATTCACGAACATTTCATGCACACCCTCCGTGACAAACGAGATATTGGATGCAACTATGAACTGCTGGAAGACTGTTGTTTTAATGGAAGTTCACACAACATGCTGAATTGGTGTCCATGTAAACGTAGTCAATGTTTGTTCTGTCCTTCATTTATTTGTTTGTTCGTTCCTTCCTCATTTCATTTAGTCCTTCCTTCGTTCGTTCCTTCATTCGCTTACATTCTTTTGTTCCTTCCTCATTTGGTTTGTATTTCATTAATTTATTCCTTTGTTCCCTAGTTTGTTCAATCCTTCCTTGAATTCTTCTTTCATTCATTTGGTCCTTCCTTCCTTCCTTCAGTCCTTCCTTCCATTCCTTGTTCGGTTCTTCCTACATTCGGATCTTCCTTCCATTCTTCATTCGTTCCATTTAGTGATTGTTTAAGGCACTTGGCGATTTCAGTCGTCATACAGTCGACATCCTTCATTTTCTCATCAGTGGCATGCAGTCTATAAGCATAAAGTCTCTGGGTTATTGGGTGTACAGATTTTCTTTCATCATCTTCTTAGACATTTTTAATGCTTCCAAAAGGTTTGCTGCATTTACAAATCACCCATGTCTTGAGGTAGTTCAGTCTGATGTGATTTCCTTTCTATGTGCAAATTTTTATTTTTATTTTATTTATTTTTTTAATTAATTAATAAATTTTTTATGGGAATCACACGACTGAGTTTTCTACTTTAGCCTATCACCGTAGACAAGAAAGAAATAACGTAGTGACTGCAGTTTGAAGGAAAGTAGTGGAGTAAAAGTACCGACACTGCAGTAAAAATGTGCTCAAAGCAAAGTAAAAGTTCACATTTTTAAAACTACTCAATTACAGTAATTTGAGTATTTCTAATTAGTTACTTTACACCACTGCTGAATTGAAAAAAATTAATTGGCCGTAGTGTATGAATGCTTGTAAATGTGAACGTGTAAGGGTGTTTCCCAGGACTGGGTTGCAGCTGGAAGTGCCTCCGCTGTGTAAAACATATGCCGGAATAGTTGGCGGTTCGTTCCGCTGTGGCGACCCCTGATAAATAAGGGACTAAGCTGAAGGAAAATGACTGAATGAAGTTTCTCAAGAAGATAATTATTGCAGTCTGATTACCTTAAATCTTTCCATGCCTTTGTGTTTATTTATTGCTTGAATATTGACGATTGGTGCCATTTGATGTTACTTATGTTCACTTTATTGTGTTCTTATTTTACACTTGTTTGTGTGGTTAAACAATGTAAAGAAGCTGTAAATATTATTGATTGAACTGTAAGCATCTTGTGTTGTTGGATTCTGGTCAAATCAGGGTTCATACGGTCATGGAAAACCTGGAAAAGTCATGGAATTTTGACATGGCATTTTCCAAGTTTTGGAAAAACAGATACATGTTTATTGGGTGTTCACATCGCTATTTGTGCATAATTAAATGCTTGAACATTTTTAGTTGACTCGCTTCATTCGTGCATGAAATTAATTTCCGAAGAGACGCAAAATCACTCCAGTTTAATTGCAAAATGCCAGAGATTGATTTTGTTGAGAGGGTGGCTCTGCTTTTTTGTGTGATATGGAAGGATGAAAAATGGTGTCGACTCATTCGGCGGCGGTTCTGGGTCCATTTGATCCTTCAGAGGCACACCCAGCTTATAAGCGTTCCACCGACTCCTCCGGGAGCTCCTGACTGTATGACGGCCGCTTGAGCAAGCTCCTGATTGGTCAACATGGCGCAAATGTCCACCAAAGCTCTGATTTTTTCAACACGGGCGATTCATGAGAATTATGCATTTGTGCAAATAATATAATAAAAATAGTAATAATAATAATAAATCTTTACATTTATATAGTGCTTTTGCTGGGCACTCAAAGCGCTTTACACATTGGGTAGAATCTGGATGACGCTACGGCAGCGATATTGTCGAAGACCACACACCAGCTGATTGGTGGAGAGGAGACAATTATGATATAGGGATGATTGATGAATGAACAGATGATGAACAGAGGCCAGTGGACAAATTTGGTGGGGATAACCCCATACTATTTTTCGAAGAACATCCTGGGATTTTTAACGACCAAAGAGACCTCGATTTAACATCTCATCCAAAAGACAACACTCACTGAGCAGTATAGAGTCCCCATCACTATACTGGAGCGTTAGAACCCACACAGACCACAGGATGAGCGCCCCCTGCTGATCATACTAACACCACTTCCAGCAGCAACCTTTCCCATGTGGTCTCCCATCCAGGTACTGACCGGGCGCAGCCCTGCTTAGCTTCAGTGGGTGACATACCTGCCAACACTCCCGTTTTTCCCGGGACTCTCCCGTATTTCAGACCCATCTCCCGTATTTTTCTGTCTCTGAATTAGCCCCCCAAAAACACTGCCAGTCAGTCTGGCTAGCATTTCGGTTTGGTCCCCATGTGCATCGAACCCAACGCACAGCTGTCTTCATACCCCTGCTCTTCACTTCACGTACATAACAATCACCCCTTCCGCGCTCTTCATTGTGTCAAAGCAGCTTCACATAGAAGATAGAAAATTGAAACGATGTAGTTTTCAGTGTTTAAGTTCAGTTCAACCTACAATGTGACGTCATAGTTCCTCCACTCTACTCTGTTTTTAGGGTAACAACAAATTCTGTGACATCGAAGATGTTTATTGTAATAGCTTTTATTATCATTGTATTGAAGTATTGCATATAGCACATGGTTTCCTCTACATTCATTCTTCCATGGTATGGCGCCATTGGCATTGCGAGGGAGGGGGCTTTGGGGGCTTAAGCCACTGATGTACTGTCATAAGCCCCTGATATTTTAAAATATGTTGCACTTAAATAAAAATAAGTTGTATTACATTTATTGTGTTATCTAAATACTTAAAATTACTATACATCACACTTAACGCAGCGTTTGTGTCGGGTAATTAAATAGTCAGCTGATCAGCAGCACCTGTTTCTACCGGGTTGTTTGCTAGATCGGATATGGTTATGGCCGGAAGTTAACGAGAATTATTTATTTTATTTATTAAATTTCCCATTTAGGCGATGCAGTGGCGCAGTGGGTAGCACGTTCGCCTCACAGCAAGAAGGTCGCTGGGTCAAGCTCAGTTGGCGTTTCTGTGTGGAGTTTGCATGTTCTCCCTGCGTTCGTGTGGGTTTCCTCCGGGTGCTCCGGTTTCCCCCACAGTCCCAAGACATGCGGTACAGGTGAATTGAGTAGGCTAAATTGTCCGTAGTGTATGAATGTGTCTGAATGAGTGTATGTGAATGTTACCCAGAGATGGGTTGCGGCTGGAAGGGCATCCGCTGCGTAAAAACTTGCTGGATAAGTTGGCGGTTCATTCCGCTGTGGCGACCCCGGATTAATAAAGGGACTAAGCCACCTAGAAAATGAATGAATGAATGTTTAAAAATCTAACGTAAATGATCGATTGTTGTTCTGAGAGAGTGAGGCTATGGTCGAATAATTAAATAAATGAAAAAAAGTGCGACTGCGACTGCTGCTTTCTCCGTTCGCCATGCTGGAGAGAAACAGTCTGCGCAAATGAAGTGCAGAGTTGGTGTCATTGACTACAGCTCTCATCTGATTGGCTGAAAGGTACGAGTTACCCTGCCTCTGGCAGGAAAGTCTCAAAAATACTCACACTCGTATCCAGGGGGAGTCGTACGTGAAAGAGGATTTGCACATTCTCATTCAGGATAAACTCGCAGGTTTTAAACATTCAAAACTTTTTGTACACTCCTATACATTTGCAAATGGTGTTTTGCATTTGTGAAACGTATTTTATGAAAATGTATTTTTATTTTGAGCACGTGAAAATTTTTTGTGAATATAAATAAATATTTTACGCACGTGAATTTGATTTTATACACGTGATTTTGGCTAGCGCATGTGTACATCGTGTCTTTTGCATGAATTTCTTTTGAGACTAAACTGATTCCATACTAAAGGCATTGTCTTTGGTGTATTGCCTTGTTCATCATCACTGTTATATTTTAAGAGGCATATAGAATAAAATAAATGAAATATTTGAATTATCTTGGCATGCTTGCCTTCACAAAAAGTAAGGGTTATAAAATGATGGAGATGCATTTGTCTAATATCGGTGTGCATCTCAGATAATATCAATCATTACAGTGAATAGATTCAAACGATTATACTTTGATTTTCTCCAATAAAGAAATGAAGATTGAGATTTGAATCTGCTCTATTTGTGTTTTGGCTTTCTTCGCCCCCTGGAGGAAGACACGTGGATAACATTTGCTGCTCAATGCGCAGGCGCACTACGGTAGATGATGTTTACGACAGTTGAAGAGATTTGCGGTCGTACGTGAAAGCTGTCTTCTGTTAGTAGCAGAAACAGCATAGAAAGCCCAGAGTCACCAAGAGCGGGGTATTTGATTAAAATGCGACAAAAGGTACAGTAAATACTCTATAAATGAACATACAGATGTTTGTAATTATAGCGAGGCTTAATTGAACGGTAGAAACGTGTTTGAGTTTGACATTCAACTCCATAACAATGTTTTAATCAGAATTAATCATGTTGGGTTAGTTTACGTTTGATTTTAATATACAAAGGAAGCACAAGAGTGAAAGAAAAGTGTCCGATGTTTGTATTAATGTTTGTGAAAACAAAGTATGAAGGAAATAATGTTTCATAGACATTGTATGTTCATAGACATACCCTGATCGGCCACTTTATTAGGTACAGCTTGCTAGTACCATGTTGGACCAACTTCTGCCTTCAGAACTGCCTTAATACTTCGTAGCATATATTCAACAAGATACTGGAAATATTCCTCAGAGATTTGGCTCCATATTAACATGATAGCTTCATAGAGTTGATGCAGATTTGTCGGTTGCACATCCATGATGTGTTCCACCACATACCAAAGGTACTCTATTGGATTGAGATCTGGTGTATATCGAGGCCATTTGAGTACAGTGAACTCATAGTCATGTTCAAGAAACCAGTCTGAGATGGTTCAAGCATTATGACATGGTGCGTTATCCTGCTGGAAGTAGCCATCAGAAGAGACACTGGTACAGTGTGGTCATTAATACATGGTCAGCAATAATACTCGGGTAAGCTGTGTTGATGACATGATGCTCAATTGGTACTAATGAAGCCAAAGTGTGCCAAGAAAATATCCCCCACACCATTACACTACTACCACCACCAGCCTGAACCGTTGATACAAGGCAGGATGGATCCATGCTTTCATGTTGTTGATGCCAAATTCTGACCCGACCATCCGAATGATGCAGCAGAAATGGAGACTCATCAGAGCAGGCAGCGTTTCTCCAATCTTCTATTGTCCCGTTTTGGTGAGCCTGTGTGAATTGTAGCCTCAGTTTCCTGTTCTTAGCTGACAGGAGTGGCACCTGGTGTGGTCTTCTACTGCTGTAGCCCATCCGTTCCAAGGTTGGATGTGTTTTGTGTTCAGAGATGCTCTTCTGCAGACCTCAGTTGTAACGATTGCTTATTTGAGTTACTGTTGCTTTTCTATCATCTGCAACCAGTCTGACCATTCTCCTCTGACCTCTGGCATTAACAAGGCATTTGCGCCCTCAGAACTGCCGCTCACTGGATATTTTCTCTTTTTCGGACCATTCTATGTAAACCCTAGAAGATGGATGTGCGTGAAATTCCCTCTATATTAGCAGTTTCTGAAATACTTAGGACAAGTGTGCCTAATAAAGTAGCCGGTGAGTGTATATAATACATTACTATGTAAAAAATAAAACAAAATCTACTGACATGTACTTATATTTTGAAATATATTAAAGCACAAGTGAAATATACTTAGCATACTATGTTTGATTATATTTTAACATGATTAAAAACATATGGCTGCTAATGGAAAAAAGGTATAGTTGTTTGATTAATAGTGACAAAGTGTAAAGATTTACAATTAAAATGACAATTCATAAGTATTTTGTAGATAATTTTTTAATATAAACTGTGTATTTTAATAAAGCAATAAATTATTCTTGCTTTAAGTATGCTTGACCAAATCTATTGGTATTAAAACTGTATTATGTGTATTATTATGTGTATTATCTGTACTGTCTGTATTATGTCAAGCAACAAAATAAACTAAGTATGATAGTCTTTGCTTATTTGTTTCCTCAAAAACAAGTATTGCATTATGTAGGACACATTTACATTGTATTGTTTTGTTTATTAATTTGGTATACACCATTTTTACAGTCTATGGTGTACACACATGTAGTTTAGTATTAATGCAAAACAAAATTAATATTGGCTTATATTTTATATCTGATCGAGCAGGAAATAAAGATGGAGTTTGTTGAAGAGGAGATTGATGACCTGGGTGATTCAGAAACATCCAGAATCTATAAACAGGAAGAAACTGAGGAGCAAACAGGTTGGTGTCTGTTCTTAATTTTCATTGTTGAATACTGAAGAGCTTTAAGGTACAGAATAGCTCTGTATTATTCAAAACAACAACAGGAATCAGTCCAAGGCACTTGAAAAATGTTTAAAATTTAAAAAGCCTTTATTCACATAGCTAAATTTTAAAAGTTTCGGCGTAGGTTTGTTTTAAATCGAGATATTTACGCGTAAATGGACACATGAGCATTTGGTGTTTATTTGCTTCATTAGCACGTCAAATCCGCTTCACAACAGACACGGAATCGCATGATGGGCTGGGCTTCTGTCTGCTTGGTGATTAGCTTTGTTGCTAAATGGCTAACATGGATTTTATTGACTCAATAGCTGTGTTTATGTGCTTTATAAAGGCTTAAAACAGCGTTGATTCATTTGGAGCGTGTCTGAGTCCAATAGATCCTTTCAGAGGTGCACCCAGCTGTGAGTTCATAAACTCCTCCAGAAACTTAACCTCGATAATGGAGGCTTTCAGCAGTGCATCTGACTGAGCCCAGCCCAGTTTGATTAACTGTTGTCCGGTGTCGACAGGAGAATTTCCCCCGGGAAACCAACAACAGGCACTACGTAAGCATGCCCCTACAAGAGAAAGCTCTTGATTGGTTAACGTGGCGTGAATGTCTGCTGAAGTTCAAATTTTTCCAACTCTAGTGATTCGTGCATGAACGCCCGATTCACACAGGGCTTAAGCGTCAATGCTTGACAAAGGGCATGGCATATCATGGCATATCATGGCATGTCATAGCAGCGTCAGCCAATCATATTAGTCCGCAATTGACTACTGTCTGAGCTGCTGTATTTACATAAAGCAATCTGATTGGCTGACGCTTCCGTTGGCGCTTGAAAATTGAGAAGGTCCCAACTTCTACAGCTAGCAACGCCACTGAAGCGGCCCCAACGAATCCACAATGCAGTTCGGCAACGCCTGACGTCACCCATTCAAAGTGAATGGAAAGCTTCGACACTGATGCTCTTTGTGAATGGGGTGTAAGCGAGTCAGTCGCGCAAAACACTCAACTCGTGCGAATCGCGTCATTTGTACTGCCTCATTCGCACGTATTGCACCACAGGATGTCTATTCGCGCATTTCCGTTGACTAGGGGTGTCAAAAATAATCGTTTTTTCGGTGCACTGCGATGCAGAAGCGGACAATTCGGTATCGGTTCGGTAATAATCATAACCGGTTATTCCTGACGTCATTTACCTCATATGCGCTCTGTCGCGAGGGAGGCGATTGCGAGTATTTACAGCGCTTTAACTGCTTAAAACTCATAAACTGTGCTCAATTTCACTGTGTGTTTGCTGGATCAGTCTTTCACTGACATATACAACAAAAGCCACTATTTCACTGAGATCGAGAGAATGAAAGTAGCATACTCCATTTCTCTCTCTCTCTCTCTCTCTCTCTCTCTCTCTCTCTCTCTCTCTCTCTCTCTCTCTGTCTCTCTTTCTCACACACACACAGTGGCCCATTTGACCTGCTGGCGTGGCTCCTCTTCTCTTCTCGGCTGTTTTACAGCGTTACTTTTGCATACAGAAACGAGCACGTGTCTGCAGTTTTCTCCACCGTGTCTATCATACATCAGCTGTGAGATCGCCCCTGCCGCTTATCAGCATCACTCATCTGTGAAGAACGCAACGCGCAAGAGCCAATCGCAACCGTTTTTTTTTTGAGGGTGTGACCAATCAAAGGGGTGTAAGAGAACTAGACAAGGATCAGAAATTGAGCTGGATATTTATATTTGTTTATATTATTTGCTAAATGCTTGTTTTGTTTAAAGGTACAGTTTATATAACTGACTGTTTGTATTAAACGACAAAATTGTATTACAAATAGTATATAAATATAAATATATTCATACATTTTAATACAAGAAATGCTGCTACGAAGAAAATATAAAACTGTGTATGGAAAGCACCGTCAATGCACCGTGATGCACCGAAATATCGAATTGAACCGAATCGATGGCATGATAATCGTAACCGAACCGAACCGTGAGACTAGTGTAGGTTCACACCTCTACCATTGACATAACATGTTACGCTCCATTCACACATCGCTTCAGTGTCAACGCTTGACAGAGGCTGTGTCTGAAGTTGGGGCTGATGCGATCGCATAGCCATTGAAATTAGTCAGCAATCGGCTACTGTCTAAGCTGGTGTATTTGCATAAGGCGATCTGATTGGCTGACCTTTCCGTCAGCATTTGAAAAGTTGAGAAAGTCCCAACTTCTGCTGCAAGCAATGCCACTAAAGCGGCGCAGACGGATCCACAGTGCAGTTCGGCAATGCCTGACGTCACCCATTCAAAGTGAATGGGAAGAGTTGAAGCTGATGCCCCATGTAAATAAGGCCGTTAATCACTCGCGTTTGACGCTTCTTCCGCGTCTAGTGTGAATGGTGCAAGGAAAACAAAAGTGAATCTGTCTGCTATGTCTACATCTGTCTGTCATGTTGTCATGTCTATGTTCATTTTTAGACCCGAAGGAAGTGAAGCAAGAAAACTTAGAACTGAATGAAGATGAGGACTTCTTACATGGAGAACCTGAAAACAATTCTCAAACGACAGATACCAAAAACTCGTTCTCATGCCCTCACTGCGACAGGAGTTTCACGCTAGAAGCAAGCCTCATCAGCCACAGCAGCATCCACAGCAGAGAGCGTCCGTACACGTGCCCACAATGCCCAAAGAGTTTCGCACGTAAAGACAGCCTGAGAATGCACCTAAGACTTCACACGGGAGAAAAACCATACGCGTGCCCTCAATGTGCCAAAGCTTTCGCACAAAAAGAGCATCTCACCATCCACATACGAATTCACACCGGGGAGAAACCGTTCGTATGCGATCAATGCGGAAGTAGTTTTGCACGAAGTGACAGCCTGAAGAACCACTCAAGGATTCACACCGGTGTAAAACCCTACAGCTGCCCGCACTGTGCAAAGAGATTTACCTGGCTGCACAATTTCAGGAAACACATACGCTTGCATTCTGGAGTGAAGCCTTACAGCTGTGAAGACTGCGGGAAGAAATTCCCATCTGCATCTGTTTTAAAATACCACATGCAGAGCCACTCAGAAGAAAGGCCTCACTCGTGTTCGACATGCGGGAAGAGTTTTATCCAGCTGGACGCTTTTAAAATGCATCAGAAATTGCACAGTGGCGTTAGGCCGTTTGTGTGTTCGCACTGCGGCAAGAGTTTTAATAAAGCCTCCAACCTGACAGAGCACTTCAGGATCCACACGGGGGAAAAACCCTACACGTGTTCGCTTTGCGGCAAGAGTTTCACTCATTCGGCAACCCTGAAAGCACACGAGCGAATTCACACCGGAGAAAAGCCGCATCACTGTACTCAATGTGGAAAGAGTTTCGGCCGAGCAAGTCATCTGCTGGCACACGTCAAAACACACTCTTCAAAACGCAAAACTTCACAGTGAGCCATTGTGTGGATGTACATTGACATCTTAGATCCTGGAGTAGCTTTTATTTATTTGAAAACATTTAAAGGGGGCTTATTATGCAAAAATTAAATTCAGTTCCATAGTGTTAACAGTAAAAATTGCTCTCCTTTTTCAAAACAATTGTAATATTATTGAATGCGGTAGATTAAATAAATAATTCTGGTTTTAGACATGATTGTGCTCAACTATGGTCATATTTATTCTCCTGGAATGCTGTTTTCTTTTCCGCCAAGCAAAGGGCCTATGGTTGTTGCTAGGGCTGTGCAATATGGACAAAATAATCATATTGCGATTTCAGGGTCTCTGCAGATATCATAACGTCAAATTTAAGACCTTTTTAAGATCATTAAGTATTCAATTTAAGACCTATATCGCAATATCAAAAACACGCGAGAAAAAATGTAAAAGTACAAAATTAGGGGTAATATAAAGTTATTTAAATTAAACAGTAGTAAAGTCAGGTTAAATGCACCATTGAACTACAGAAAAAACACATCTTAATGCAGATTTATACTTTCACCTGGCACCGCATCGCACAACTCACGAAACGGATTAAGGCTTTTATACTTGACACGTTCACCATTGAGATATTTTTTTTAAATGACTGGGTGCGGTCCAAAAAAACAAAGTAAAATCAGACAAATAAAAAGATAATCATTATCATTGAAGATGTTTTTGGGGGCTTCTTTTTTGTTTTAACAAAATTATCCATCAGAGTTTTTCCAAAGTTTAACAAAATCTTTCCTCCTTTCCCATGTCTGTTGCAATTTCTAGTCAATAATTATTGGTCATTCTGGCAAGCAGAAATGTAACTGTGATAGAAAATAGGTAAGAACTTGATTAGGAATTATAGCCTACTGTACTATTCACTCTTCAAATAAATCCCACTATCAATCCCATTCTATCACTAAAATAAAGTGAACTAGTGTCTGCTGTACAGTGTTTTGTAAAGTACAGTAAACCACTTCAGTTACTCTGTTGTGGTAATACTATAGTTGCTATGGTAACACAACAAGTGTATTTAAAACAAACTACCCAGTGCTTTAGTTTTTTTACAATATAGGGTATATTTTTCTACAATCCAACACACTTTACTGTAGTAAAACTACACTGTATGTCATTTTATCAGTTCACTATTCTTAATACTACAGTATGCTGAAGCATCTCTGGAAAAGCACGAAAGGAGTCAGACAGAGTGAGAGCAGATCATTCGCACGTGAGCAGCCAGTTTTTTGAGAGCTCGCAAGCAGTTTTGTCCATGAACAAAGGAAACCGGCGCGTGAGCAGAGATTCGCTCTCTCGTATTACAGCGTTCCCGACTTATAAAACTGCGCTTGCGACATTTGTCAGTGAAATAACGGCATACTCTGCCAGCCGAAATCATGTCGCGCGCACTCAAATCGAACTTCCGCAAACAGCGATGATGTCACATTCGCCTCACGCACTGAGTTTAATATCAGAAAGCTGATTGGCTATTGCAAGTTGACTTTTTTGTAGTTGTAATACCACAAATTACAATTGGACTAGTGAAATAAAGAACTACAACATTCCAAAAACCTAGCAACAACAACAAAAATAATTTCAATGAGCATTAGATGTAGCGTTATATGGACATCGCAAAAATAAGACCTGTGCAAAATTATTTAAGACCTAGAACAGCTAATTTAGGACTTTTTAAAGCCATAAATTTAGATTTTTTTAATTTAAGACTTTTTAATACTTTTTAAGACCCCGCGGGGACCCTGGATTTTATAAATGAATATTGTGATTGCGTTTTTATTTGTGATTTTGGCAACTGTTTTAGCTTTTTCAAACAAGCTACATACACACATTCTAAATGCATTCAGTGCACGAGAAGTGCATAACAAAACTATTGCGTCATTAACTTCTTTGTGCCATTTTGACGCTTTCCCATAAGGCACGGCGCTTACAAATGCTTAAACAATGGATACTAGTTTAGTCTGTTTGGGCTGGCTTGGATGTGTACTTTTGTTTGTTTCGATGGACTTTGTCGACATGCATTGATCATGCAGTTTTTTATGAAGCTGTTTTAAGTGTTGGATCAGATTTGTAGTATTGCTCCGTTTACAAGTCTTGCAAATTGCCTTGCTCTGTGACACATCCTCTCTCCTGAATCCAGAATACTCCCAAACGACTGTCGTTGAATTTTTCTTTGGCACCAAATCATTTTTATTTTGACCCGCATCCATATTTTATGTTCTTTCCACCTGCTTGCCTATTCTGTTCTCCCACTCGGCTTCGTCATGCGCAGAGTGAGCTGGTTAACATCTTTCTCCTACTCAGCTGTAATTGCCCGGTGCGCTGCGTCAGCTCTGATTGGTTAACATAATAAAATTGTGCGCATAAGAACATATTCCGAATAAAATTCTAAATAAATAGATAAAAATTGCAGCCTTATGCAATTTAGAAATTGCTTAAGTTGCGTTTTTTTTTTTTTTTTTTTTTTCCGATTGCGATTAATTGCACAGCCCTAGTTGTAGCATCTGTCCACATGTTTTCTAAAATGATTCAGGCTTGTCTAGATGAGCCTTTGCAAACCTACAAACGACCCTTCTCATTGGCAAAACACAGAAAAGTCTTCTTCTGTATCACCTTCCATCGAGCTGTTTTTTATGGAGATTGCACTGAACTGTGGAATGATGTACAGGAGCATTATCAACAGCAAGATGTTCCTGGAGCTCTTTGGAGGTGGTCTGTGGTTTGTTGTTTCTAAACATTTTTCGCCTTTGCCTTTCAGATATTTTTGTTCATCTTTTCCTTCACCTGGGGCCTCATGTACGAAGACTTGCGTTGAATTCATACTAAAACATTGCGTACGCACAAAGCTGTAAATGTGCGTACGCAGAAAAAATTCAGATGTATGAAACACTGCGTACACCGAATCTCACGCATATTCTCTTTGTACATCCAAATGAACGTGAAACTGAGCGCAACATGCACGAGCACAAAACTCCTCCCCCGTATGAATATGCTAATGACTCTACTTTGGCAAAACCCAACGAAAAAGCAATGGCAAAAGCAAGCAAAATAAGAAACTTTGAACAGAACGTGAATTAGAGGTGCTGCTTTCAGAGGTAGACCGGAGAAAAACTGTGTTATTTGGAAGTTTGTCCTCCGGAATTAACAACAAAAGAAAAAAATTGATTGAGTTTAGCTGATGCGGTTAACACAGTTGGGTCTGAACATCGCACTGATTGGATAAAAAAAAAAATAGTGTGGTTTATAGGTGTAAAATTTTGTAGTGTCTTTAACAGCGTGAGTGGCGTAGCTTGTAAAACGCATGGCAACATGTTTTGACACGTTCAAGCATGAACTCAGTTCGAATCCAGCATCTAATGAACTCTTTCTTCTTTTTTCCCCCCGCTGCATATCAGATTCTCATCACGAGAAAGACAAGTAGGAATCATTAATAAGTGTGTGCATCATATTTTATTTGCACATTTATTGAATGGAAATGTTTCTTATTCACGCATGCAAATTCATCCTCAGATGGCGCCTTTATAGCAATGTGTGTGCAGTAGATCGCTCAGATTACATTGGGAAAAACGGCAACCGCTGCAAATTGCGCTTTATTGTTTGGCTGGTCAACTGTATGGTATGGAAACCTTATATACCTGCTAGATGAACCCGTCTCATACAGCTGCCATTGTAACGCTCAAAGATACTTTGTAGTGTGCAATTTAACACAACTGCCTCTAGGAGTCGCCAATGGAAATAAAACAGACAACACGCACAAAAAATGTGCGTACGCCAGACATGAAGTTGGCGTGGAACAACGCACATTCTCACGCTCATTTCATCATTAGTAAATCCAAACATGAGCGATTCTGAGCATTGAACCTGGCGTATGCAAAGTTTTTGTGCGTACGCAGCATTGATACATAAGGCCCCAGAACTGTTTCCGTGGCCTTCCATTTTCTTACTATATTTGTGACTGTGGAGATGGAGTCTTTAAACCTTTGTGACAGCATGTGGAATTCTCCTAATTAATGTTGATGAATCATTCTAGTTTTTAGGTCATTAGAAAGTTCTTTTGTGGTTCCTATGTTGCTATTTTCAGGTTCACAATAAGGAGAAGCACAACTAGCTATCAGCCATCTTAAATATCCTTTTTCATGATTGTTTGCACTTGTGTTGGGATCATACATGTCAATGTCAACCCTCCCGTTTTTCCTGGGATTCTCGCGTATTTTACAGTTCTATTCCACTATCATTCAGTAAAGGTATTTTTACGTATTTCTCCTGTATTTTCAGTCTTTCTCTGAAGGATGGCAAATAAACATTAATGAGCCGAGCCTCCCTATACGCAACCCCCATACCGACCGCCGAACCACAAGGGCCGCCCCTTGCTCTTAAATGTTAGTCTGTTCTGTGCTTTCACTTTGTTCGTGCATGAAAACACTTTAAAATAAATATAAAAACGGCGAGATTCCCATTACTTTTCATTACAGGTGTCGTCTCCCCTTCATATGTAATCCTCAAAACAGTCATATAGCGGTGCGTTACTGTCAGCTGAAGCGCTCCATAGTGATAAATAGACACTGTTTTCCAAACGGATTCTGTACAGACAATTTGAAGCGGAGCGAAAGTCTGGGTTTTGGGTGCGTGTTTGAACAGACATTTACACATAATTAGTAATAATAACCTCTAAAGATGTCGATCTTGGTGGGTTTTTTCTAACTACTTATTTCTTTTTTTAAACTCAATTTAAAAACTAATTTCGTCCTAAATGAGCATAAAAATTTAGGAACGCAATCGAATGCTTTCATTATAGCGTTAGATGTGTGCATTTTTAAAGTGACACCTCTGTTATTAAATGTAATCAAATTTCAAAAATCCAAATAATTTGCTCTTTATTTAATTTAATTTAATTTAAATAATTTTGACTCCCGGCTAAACGCATATTGCAAAGACTTTAACGGAGCAATGGTCGTAATGTCGAGCGATGAAAAAAAAAAAAGAAAAAGACAGCTGTGAAACATAACCAGCTTTGTCTTTTTGTAGCAAACGCACTCCAGATCTTTTTAGGGTAAGAGGTTTTTGAGTTATTGCCGTCTATCACTGAATGTGTCAGGAGTATCGAAAACAAAACTAAGTTAGCGTTACTTTGGTGATTTGGGTGTGTGTTTAAACAGACAAATACACTTAAAAATA